GTCAGAAAAGGTCTCGCAAAGTTATGTTCCAAGAGTGTTTGGGTTCAAGTTACACAAGCCGTGAAGGTAAAAGCAAAAGGAAGAAGAATACTGCTAAGAGACTTGTCTGTGTAATTAAATGCAAATTGTTTCACGAAGGTGACAACTAGGTCTCTCTCTTTTTTTTTTTTTTGTGGAGGTGTGTCCTTTTCCGTTTTAGATACAGTTAGCAGGCATATTTAAAAAATGTAATACTTACTACATTGTTCTTTTGTTTACTTTTTTTTTCCAGAGTTTTTGACACGATTAATCAAAATTGCTTGTAGCAATTGTCAGATTTGTGTGAACAATTCATGTTTTTATGTCTTTCAGGGTATGTTCATTTGGGTAAAAGTCTAGTAATAGGGGATACAAGTATTTACCATATTGAACGTTACCTGTCGAAATGTATAGTTTAAAGTTGTTTACGAAAAAAAAGATAATGTGGATGTAGAATATTTTCAATAACTATTTCAAATAACATTCTGGTAACTAGAATTTTTTGTAAACAAATTTAGAAAATAAGAAAATATTTTTGCGTTAATTTTCAAAAATTTGGATTTTTTTTTTAAATGAGGTTATTTTATAATCAATGAAAGATTATGATTTTGCAACGTTAGAGAACTGGCTTTAGTAGGAGAGTAATACTAATAACTAATGAGTAATGACGCAGGTTTAACTTTTGAATCATTTGTTTATCAAGATTATGAATTTCTCCTACTTATGGTAAATAACTAAGAAAGATTTGCGGAATGGAACACTTTTGTGAACTTATGTTGCAAAAAAAAAAAACACTTATGTTACATAATGACTTTTTACTCTTTCCTACTGTTGACACTTTTTTTAGGGTCCTTTTTCTATGTCTATGGACTATACTATTTACTAACTATAACTCTATTAACTATACTAACCTCTAACTACAACTTTTTATAGTTACAAACATCGACACCTTATCGATACTTTATCATCTTTCTAAATTCCCATTCTCCATCTTTTGAATATGAATACCCTAGGAAAACGCCAAACCTCTCTTTTTTCTCTAACCAAATTTTCGGATATGAAAAAAGTTTCCGATTTACTTCTCCACCGTTACGCATCCTCTCTTTCGCCGACCATGGCTCCGGTGGCATGAAATTTCAGTTACCACTTCTTCTTCCTCATCTTCTCTTAGATTCTTCTTCCAACAGATCAAAAGACTAGTCTTTCCCTCCATACATGTCAGCCTCTGTTTCTCTTTCATGTTCTTATATTCCTTTCAATTTTTAATTCTTTTGATTTTGTTGATTTTGTTAATTCTTATGTTCTTATACATTGTCTTCGATGTGATGGATGCTGTTACGGATAAAATTAGACATTAAAGTTTTACCTTTATCATTAACCGCAAGTAGACATGCAAACGTAGTAGTATTTAGGGATCGAATCCACATAAACACAAAAAAAACTTGCAAAGATCTAAACCTAGCTAGGACAACATCGAGTTACAAGATCTCATGTGATTTTGCAGAAATAAAATAAATAAATAATATAAAATGATAGAATATAATAATCTATATATAATAGCAATCTCAATACACTACATGAAATATCTGAACGGTTGTGTCTTTTAATCGTAACTTTTCGTTAAAAAAATTTAAAACTAAAATCTATATTTTACGGGTATGTTTTTTAGAAAATTGCAATATGTCTTTTACGGTTGCTTCTTTTTATTGTAGCTCTTCATAAACAGTTGCAACATTTTATTTGAATTATTGCAATATTTAGTTTATTTCACGAACAATTGCAACCTTTAGTTTATATATTTAGTTTATATCACAAACGATTGCAACCTTTGATTTATATATTTAGTTTATTTCACGAACGATTGCAATCTTTAATTTATATATTTAGTTTATTTCACGAACAATTGCAACCTTTGGTTTATTTTATAAATTGCTATAACATCTAATTATCTACCTTCGCGTCTCTTGGTATAAATTTTCATAAATTAATATTTTAATTTTTAATTACCAAAATGCATTTAAATGAGATTGTAATCGTTTAATTGAACCGTTGAAACATTTGGTTTATTTAACCAATCATTGCAACTTTTGGTTTTGTTTTACGAACCGTTGTAATCTTTAGTTTATTTGACGAACTTGAAGAACCGCTACAACTTTTGATATATCGCAACATTTCATTTATTTCTTTTTAAACTAAAAAAATTATTTTACGTTATGTTTTTTGAGAAAGTTGCAATCCGAGTAAATATTTTTTACGGCTGCATCTTTCTATCGTAATTTCTCATAAAATGATTGCAACCGTTTAGTTGAACCATTGCAACATTTAGTTTATTTCACGAAAAATTGTAACTTTAAGTTTCTTTTATAAATCATTATAACATTTAATCATCTACCATCGTTATTATTAATTTTCGTTTGATATTTGTTTTAAACTTATTTTTGAAATATTTTTTCCCGCGACATCGCGGGGGTCCGGAGTCCTAGTATAAGAAATAGAGTTTCAAAGAATTCATGAGAAAATATGTGAAAGACATGTAAGTTCGGTTATGATTCTAAAAGTTCCTGAAGGTAGACTTCTATTGTGTATTACCCTAATTGTGTTTTAGTGATAACTCCTTTGAAAGGACTACAAAGTTTCATAAGCTTTTGGCTAGGCTTGTTCTAAGCTATCAATTCAAGTAATAAGAATAGAATCCAACAAATTCTACAAAACGTAATACTACAACTTTGGTGAGTTTAGTTAAGGAACTTTGCCTATCTAATAATAGATCCATCAATTCGACACCATTTTTGGTGGTTTGAGGAATTAGAATCAACAACGTCGGTAGCTGTATTAAAAGAAGGCAGTCTCAATAGCTCTGTCATCAGTGACCCTAGCTAGACCTCCAACGAAGCACTCAATAAAAAAGAATGGCTCTTTGTTCTTCATCTTTCTCTCTCTTTCCCTAATTTCAATTCCAGTCTCTTATGGCTTATTTACAATTCACATGAATTCTTATTTATTACCTCCGTCACATTAACAGGAAATTGAGAAATAATATCTAGGGTTTACAGTGGAACAGAGAGTTTTGAATAAGACGAAGTAAAAAAAAAAATTAAAAACGCCTAAAAAAGTGGATATTCAACCCACTTTTAACCACCATAATAAGACAATATATTCGTATATGTTTGAAAAGAGATTGTATATATATACGTTAATACTCTGGATTAAATTTTAACTGCAGTTAGCGATTTTGTTACCATCGCTAACAACCGTTAACACGAAGGTACGAATCTACCAAAATTTAAAAAACGAAGAATTAAAAAAAAACAACAATTAAACGAGGTATTTTTATTTCAATTTTAAAACTACACATATTAAACAGCCAAATAGAAAATAGATGCCGGTTCTTTCGGGTTTTCCCTAACAAAAATCATAAAGATAAAATTATCATTTTTATTTTTTCTTGATACGCCGAGTCCTCCTCTTGTTGTAAACAGAAACAATTAATACGAAAATATTATAGTATCTAGCAACCATACACAATTAATAGATGTATATGTTTGAACTCCAGAAAATCGTAATAACAAAATAAAAAGATAAAGTCAGTTTATTGTTTCTTGATTCGTCTAGCTCTTTTGTTTGTAACAGTAAGAGAGTCTTGTAAAGCTTGAAGTCGAAGAAAGAGTTGATTATATTCATCAGCGGTTCCAGTTTCATCTGCTAGAACTTTTCCACACCAATTACACGACCTGCGAAAAAAAAATTCAATACCCAAATTATAAATATAAACTTTCAAATTAGAAAAATAGAAAAGAAAAAAAAAGAAAAAAATTGGTGAGAGAACCTACTTGACAGAACCGGCGTTTCCTTCACGGCGGATAGGAGTTTCAACACAGCAGTGACCGCACCACATCCTTTCTTCACCGCTTGTTGCTTCTGCCATCTTGGTTCAACACAAAACACTAACTAAAACTAATTATGAGAGTTTCGTAGATGTGTTTATTTATATAGAGAAGAGAGAGGGCAAATCTAGCTGATTCCTTTTAGGTTTTGGAATGTTGTTTTGATGAAAATAAAAGGAAACTTAATAGTTAAGTAAATTGGTAGATTTTGCTGTTTTTTCTCCTTATGATTTTGATATACTTTTTAAGAATTATATAGGTTTATGACTTGGAGAGCAAGGAATTTTATTTGTTTATTCGACGGACACGATTTTGACTTTGAGCATGGTCGTATCTTTGGAGTTTGGACATTTTCTTTTCTATTCATCCTCTTATTTGTTTTGGACTTTTGGGTCAATATTTAAATGAAAAAAAATAAAGACATGGAAAAAGGAGATTTTAGGTAGCTTTGGGTCCAAGTAATTTATAGAAGTCATCAATACATATTTATACACTTCAACTTTGTAATATTGTACTATTAAATAATTGCAATAACCTAATTGAGGTATTTTATTTATTAAAACAAAACCTAAACTGGTATATGATGGAAACTAGAAACTATGGAAATTCGTTTTTTTTTTAATGGAATTATGGAATAAATATAAAAAAACCAGAGAAGAAATATTGTGGTAAACAAAAAAAAAAATGGTACACGTTCAGAAAATAAGGAGAGAAAGCGTTCAAAAATGTCATTAGTTTAAACTTTAAACATTCTCAAAGGAATTTCTATTTTCGTTTATTGGCAAAGGAAATTTGGAAGAATTTGAGCATAATGTATCATTTAAAGGCAATCTCAAAATGTGTAACCTAGGATTCTATGTTATAAGTTGCAAGATTATAACTTCCGTACAGGAATATACTTAACTCTTTCTTTTACATACAGAGAGAGTTAGTTACTTAGATCATCATATGTTTTCAGTAATTCGAAACAGAGAAAAGACTTTCTAAAAAAAGACACAAAAACAAAAATCCATAGAAACGTGAAGAACCAGATAATGACCGAGAATCGTCTAGACTAGTGCACAGCCGCATAGCTCTTCTCTTGTGGTAAAGGAGTTCGACTCCGCTTCCCTTTCATTCGGTACATATAACGGGCCATAAAAGATAAACCGGTTAACCTTTTTACGAGTGGTAAGCAAAAGATATGTAACAATGTACTTTGTTTTACAACATGTGAAGAAGCTCTTCTAAGTGGTTCGCTGCCTGACTCTTCGGCTGCTGGTCTCACCACCGTCAGAGAGTTGGGCCCAAACACTCTGAGACTTTCCTCCTCCGCTGCTACTTGTTTCGTCATAACCAGCCACCGCCTTTAGTAGCTCAGACTGGAGGTTTGGACAGTCATCCTTCAGATCTTCATAAGCTTTTGTCTGCAGAACAGCTATAAATTCCAAGACAGCCAAAAAAAATCAAACTTAGAGAAGATTATTTATCAACATGATCTCATAAAGCTGGATCTTGATCGTACCTGCTAGGTTTTCTGCAGTGAATTTTAGGGATACGCTTTTTAGTTCAGTTGCATTATATTTGTCGGATAAAACTAAGATCTTGGATACGGAGCTGATAGATACGGCTTTGCAGATGTGAGATTCACACAATAATCTGAGCCTACTCAGATTGTACGTTTCCGCAGCTGCCAGAAGCTTTACAATCAGTGTATCATCTATTTCGGACAGCCTTAATAGGTCAAATGAATGAGCCGTTACTGGTTCCACATCTCCTGGGAGAGAATCTTTATACATGAAGTGTAACAAGGCCTGTATAAGGTGGAACATTACCAGGGACAAATACGACAAATAATACCAGAAGAGAAAAATATTAAGAGAAGCTATAAACTCGAGATGTGTACCTTGAAAACCTTAGGTTCCAAATCGCTGATCGCTACCTCGTTGTTGCTTGCTTCTGGGACATTGTAAAACTTCGATCTGAAAAACTGAGATCGTGCAGCCAAAACCAATTTATGAGCTTGAAACTTCTCACCAGCAATGTCAAATGTGACATCTGAACCTTCTAAAGTATCCAGCAACTTTCCAAAATGTGATCCAAGTTCTGAGTCTGGGACATGAATCGAGAGTAATCGTGGGCAATGTATCTCTGAAACGACAACTCCAACTGTACAATTGATTTTCAAGCAATCGTCTTTAAGGTAGTCAGATGTCTCAAGCAAGGAACGTCTGAAGAAACGCTTGTATCCCCTAATCAAGATCCAAAGAAAAGACACAATAATTTGAGGGCTCTTGAGGGCTCTGAGTTAGCAGTTCAATATAGCAGCAACATGAGTGTGAAAACAATAAAATAGGCCACTAAAGATACTGACAAGACTTTAAGCTTCTGCAGGTAAATGAAAAAGGAAATTTCCAGTTAAGCACCTTAAAAAGGTTGTCTGAACAAACACTATGACAATTCAGATAGCTTACACACCTTAGAACATAGAACTACCCATACCCATATTCATGATTAGAAAGGGAGCAAAAGACCAACATTATACATGAGCAAGTTGAAAACTTTATTGAACTGAGTAAAACAGAAATGAAAAGCTGAATTCTTCTAAACTGTTAACATGAAACATCATGCACCATTGACAAACAAAGTTCAAATTTAGATCCTCCCTTATAGTACAAAGCTGAAATGACAGAGCAACATTCCAAAAACAATTACAAGCAACAATCCAGTAAAACTTGCAAAAAAACTATCAAACAATCCATGCTTAAGTATAGAACACAGCCAAAAGTAAATGAAGAATAGTCATCATACAACCACAACCAAACGAAATGAGACTGCGTTTAAGCAAGCCCAGGATTCTCACCACATAGCATAGCTCTATCCAGTCTAGTAGACTTTTACCTTAAAGTATTTAAGAGTATGTTTCTACAAACACAACCAAACGAAATGTACCAACACAACTAAACGAAATGAGACTGATTTAAGTTTCTAACTCAAAATTTATGAATAACCCATCAACGAAAACCGAATTCCACAGGAATATGCATATGATAAACAAGAACCAAGAGAAAGAATCAAGCCGTACCACATACTTCCTCTATATTTAAGCGTGTAAGGACCACCATCAAGCGACCGATCGAAATGGCTATGAACCTTATGCTTCCCTTTACCACTTTGATCAACAAGAGCAAGCTCAAAAAGCGCTCTAACTTCAGTACCTTCACTAGCCAAAACGATGAACACAGAGACGTAAGAAGAGTTATCTTCTGGATTTTTACCATCTGGGTAGACGAAGATAGTCCATTGATAACCTCCGACGGAGAAATTATCACTTGCTATGTGTTTCCCTACTCCGATTCCTTTAGCTAAACTGTATCCTTGGATCACGAATTGGTGCGATCCGTTCGTCGTCTGTGTCACCGATCTTGAGCTTGTTGGTGATTCGACTCGATCTGGATTCGTATTGGGACTTGATGATCGGCTGGGTCTGGTCATTAGCCTTGACATTTGGGATTTTTAGCACTCAGATGGAGAAGAATTCTCTCATGGAGATTTCTAGGGTTTTTGATTCCCAATTTGGGAGAAATTCAAACGAAGAAGATTGATGATGATGACCCGGTCTGCGGAGGATATAATGGTCATTGTACCCGGTTCAGGTTATTATCAATCCGGTTTGATAACAGTTTTGATTAGATGCAAATCTCATGATGATCTTGATGAAAATGTTTTATTTAATTTTTATTGTGATTTTAATCAGTTCTTGAGTAGACATTTGTGTAGAAGAACAATGTTACAGTGGCTAGAAGAAATTGAAAGCTCTCTACTATAGTTGTGTGTTTTAATTGTAAATTTGGCAGCAATACAATTGTATAACTTTCTTGTATTTGTAGATTCATGTGAGATAAACAAGTCTTGTTATATTCCATATTGACATGGTTGCTGGAAAATATTCAAAGAGCATGAATGAAGCTAAATAATGGAATTTGTAGTTAGTAAAAAGCGTCCATATACACACACATCTGACACTAAGTTTGGGCGAAAACAACTGGAACATAAGAACTGAAGTGAAACCGAACCGGAAAAAAATAACCAAACCGAATTTGAAAACGTCAAAACAACCGAACGGATCTTAGACTCAGAACCGTGCCTAGATATCCAAAGACCAGAAGCGATGTTTAAAAAGTATATTTCAGTTCATGAAAATAAAAAAAATTTCCTACCAAAAAAAGATAACAATAATATTGGAGTAAAAGAAATATAACTCTAAAACATAACTTTTTTTGTAATGTTGATAATGTGGTTAATTAAATTTTCAAAATTAGTATTTTAATAAATTCTTTACTCTTTCTTTTCAGCCTAATAAATTCTTTACTGGTGGACAAGATCGTCAAACATCAAAATTACTTCTATATAACACATATTCATCTATAGTTGTTCTTCTACACAAATGTCGATAAATATATGAATGTCGATAAAAATAAAAATATGAATGTTCTCATATTTTACATAAACAATTATTTTGAACTAAATTAATAAATCACATTAAAAAGGAAACTCACCATAAACTCAGCTTAAACCACATGGTAAAAAAGGAAATGACATTAGGATTCTCTAATCCTATATATGTTGTGCCTTGCTTCTTCTCTTTTTTTCACTCTCTCTCTCTTTTCACGATTCCATTATCTCTCTTGTTTTCTCTGTAAGAAAAAACAAAACCCTAAGAATGCCTTCGTTGAACGTATCAGAGTGCACAATGAGGAAAAGAGGAACAAAGAGAAAGATTGAAATTGAGAAACGCTTCACTAAACAACAACGATCGGTGGCTTGCAGCAAACGCCGTCCAACACTCTTCTCCAAAGCCGCTGATCTCTGTCTTCTCTCCGGAGCCAACATCGCCGTCTTCGTAACCTCTCCGGATGAAAACTCCGACGTTGTTTACTCCTTCTCCGGCTACTCTCCTGCCTCTGAGATTGCTGATTGTTACCTCAACGGCAAGTCTCCTCCCAAGATTACTAACCCTCAATCCAAGTTAGGGTTTTGGTGGGAAGACCCTGATCTCTACCGTTATTGTGATGATCTCTCTGAGTTAAAGATCATCGAGGATCGTATGATGAGAACGAGGAAGCATCTGATGGATTGTCTCGAGAAGAAAGAAAAATCACAATTTGTTTCGAAAACCGATCAAAACCCTAACACCACCGACGAGATATTCAATAATGGTGGGTCTTCTTCTTGTTCTTCTCAAATTGCTTCTGATTTAGGTCAAAACCCTAGCACCTCTTCTCCGTCTTCCTCACACATTGTTTCTTTTGATCAGAACTCTTATTCCTCCCTTGAGAAGATGTATGGCGAGCCTACGTCGTCACAAGTAACTTGTTTTGATCAAAACCCTATCTTCTCTGTTGGCGGCGAGTCATCATGTGATCATCAATCTCTTTACTTGGTGAATGAAGATCCTGGGTTTGTTAACTGCTTATGTGAAACAGAGGAGGAGAATAACGGAATGAGTGTAGCCCAAGAAACACAAACACAATCAATGCTCAATGAAGATCAGAGCTTTTGGGAAAACCTACTTAAAGATGATGACAACGTATTTGGTCTTCTTAACGACAACAACCTTGAGGTTCCTCTTCAAAATCATTCCCAAACCAACGAAGAAGAAGACGAGTTTATGATCGATATCAGTGAATTCTTAAGCGAAGAAGAAGAATTCGAATGGCCCCTGTTTTAGTTAGTTCTCAGTTCATAACAGCTTGATTAAGCACGAGTTAATTAGGGAATTAATATATCTTTAAACCCTAACTTGATCTGTTCATTAGGTAATTACCATTTTTTGTTGATGTGTGTAACGATCTCTAGATTCATGTTGTTTATTGTTTTTCATCTTCGATTTATATGAAAACCATTTTCTATAAGATTTTGTTATGTCGTCGAAATTGAGAATAATAGAGTTTCTTGATGAAAGAACATATAGGCCCATTAAAAGCCCAACTTAATTCTTAATCAAATCCCCAAACCAATTTCATTCATCCTTTCGACGGATTACCACAAAGTTTTTCGTCAATCAAATTTGCCTCACTACTAGTTTTCTTTTAGTTTTGAAAGTCTGTCAGTGAATTTGGATTTTGTGATTCTCAAAAACAACAGTTTTTAGAGTTCAATTTCGAAGCGACAAGCGTATCTTCTTTGTTTCTCTCATTGTTTCTGATTCTGGTGGGTTTTTGGGGCTTTTGCTTCTAAGTTACAATGTCGGTTTTGTCTTAGCTCTTTTGATTCTGTAGTTTCGATGATGGTTATGATGATGGTTAGTGAGACTTATTGATTATATAATCTATTGGCATATATGTTTGGGAAAAGTAGTGACTGTGGTGTTTAATTATAGGATAGTTACCAAGTGTCGTTAGCTCAACTGGTAAAGATCCTAGGCGAAGCTTAGAGGTCGCCGGTTCGAGTGACGCTTGGGACGAATCTAATATTACATGTTGTGGTTTCGGGCCTGGGGGGATTACGGGCTTTGGCCCAGAACCTCCTGGTATTCAAAAAAAAAAAAAAAAAAAAAAAAATTATAGGATAGTTGAGTTTTTTAATCGCCGAGATCAATTGATTAAGCTATTGGTATATGTTTTGGAAAAATAGTGACTGTGGTATTTTTTATGGTTTTGATGCAATCTTGAGTAGACATTTGTGTAGAAAAGAACAATGTTGCAGTGGCTAGAGATGGTTTGATATTTTGGCCAAACTAGAAGAATTATAAATTTGGCAACAATATAACTTCTTGTATGTTGTAGATTCATGTAAGGAGTTAGTTGGAATAGGCCATATATAGGGTCCATTGACTTAGTTGCTTGATAAGATATTCAAAGATGATGCATTTTGTATCCATATACACACCTTGTTGATTTGCTATTTCAACGTGGTACAGCAATAGATGCAAAATTGATCTTGTAGAGTTGATGATCTCTCATTGTTTGAGTTTGTCTTTGTGAGTGAAAACTCTGCAACATTCTCTGTTCTTGAGATTATCCTAATTTCCTTCTTAATGCACCTTCATTCTAGAGGGGTCACTTTTTCGTTGCCAAAGTAATTAGTGCACAATGATATCGTTTTTTTTGTCGTAGTGACGCAGGGAAGCACAAATATGCTCTGCAACATCTTTAGATGATACTCATCTAAGAAATGTTCAAAACACTGCAAGATCTATGACCAATCTTCTCAAAAGTTTGTTATTACCGTTTTTATTAATTAATGTGTTCTATCATCATTCATTAACTGTGTTTCTTATGTGTTGAGTTGTTTTAACTTACTGTAACCAGGTGTCCCATTGACGTAACACCTGAAGCAACGAAAGCGAGCGGTGATCGAACCTGAGATGTCAGGCCTCTCTGTTCATCTTGATTAAAGGTAAACCATACCTCTTAAGCAACTTAGGTCAAAAGATGAACTGAGAGTATTTGTGGCTTACTGTGACTATGGTTGATGCTGTCTCAGCTAAATAATTGAACACAGATTATTTGATTGCGTATACATATGTCAATAATCCGTTCTTAAAGAATATACACAACATTATAACCGGAAAAGTCTAAACATTACATTTGAAATGCACGGTGTCGAATTAGATGACGGATCTGGATCTGGTTAACAGACTGGTAAGTCTTTCTCGAAGAAAGGTGAGATCCCAAGTACCGGGTTTGATTCGAAGAAATTGACAGGTTTAAGTTCAAAGCTAGATGCTATCGTTGGCATAACTGGAAAATCTTCTTGGCACGGTACGTGATGAAACCCTAGTGTATACCACAACACTATGTCCTTGTTCTCAATGGACCGATCTCTGTTTCATCACACAATAGCAGTTAAAGATAAAGCTTATACTCAACCATTAACCAAGACAGTAGGAGCAATTAAGTATGGTTTATTGCTTAAGTGAGTACCTGTCGGACCAAACTTGTAGTGTGTCTTCACCACGGCTCTGGTACATCAAAAGCCCTCCGGCCCATTGCTCTGATCGGTTATACCGAGTCACCCATATCTAAACCAATAGATTTCATTCATTATAGTATTATACATTAAGTTTGTTGAACCTGGCAAACCGAGCTTAAACCGAGTACCTGATTGTTTGTGAAAGCGCCTCTAATTTGGGGTGGATCATCATGATCGAGCAAACTTGCAGCATTACCACCAGGCACAAGCTTGTAACCAGCCGGGTTCCCTAAACGAGACCGCCTGTTAGGGTTCACAAAATGGAACTCGTAGGGGTCGTACAGGCTCAACTTGATCTGAGCATCTTTCTCAGTCTTGGCTACATATTTCTTGACCTTCAAGTAACTCTTTCTTCTTGATTTACCAGGCGGAAGTCTCTGCTTCTCTAGATGAACCTTAACAAAGGAGTTGTTGGCTGACCCGTCAATGTCCATGTCTAGATGAAACGATATGAAATGATCGTGGACGACTCCTACAACGTTTTCTGAGATCAACGGTCCAGAATCCGCCTCTTTCTCACCCAAGTCTTCGATGTTTTGGTAAGCCGTTCCTTTCACCATCAACATCCCCGAGGCTGCGACCTATTTATAACGTTTTTCATTATGAGAACAATTAAGAGAAATTTGAAATGGAGAATCATACCGTAACACGAATCACACCATCCATTTGAAACTCCCAATCAAAGATATAATCATAGTTTCCAACCGAACACGCCATTCTAGCCACCAGTGTCACCTTAGCCCTTGATTCCCTTATCTGTTGATATCCAAATTACATTTTCATAAGGATCGTATTTTGTAACATATCATATATAATGAAAACAATATTAGTGATGTGTTATAACATTACATCTGTACCAGGGAGAAGAATCTCAGAGTGGCGCCAGCTAATGTCACCCGCGTAGCGTTCGAACAAGCAGATCATGTTAGTTTGAAGGATTGGAATGCCTTCAGGAGAAGCGAAGAAACCGTCAATGTAGTAAGCGTTTCGAGGACAGTCGTTAAGCGGCACAAGCGGCATTGAAGAAGGTCCTAAACCAAACTCTCCAGCATCCATGTAAGCTTTGGAGTACCAACCTTCCCCTGGATCCATATACGGTACGAACAACTCCGACGCAAAACCTTTGTACATCACACTTCTTACTTCACCTGTTTCAACCTCAACAACATGTTTTCATTGTAACTTGGAAGACAATTGTCGTCAATTTGTAACAATGACTAAATTCAAGGGACTTCTTTGTGATATAAATATAATTACCTGTCTTGGAATCACGAACTGTAGCCTGTGAGATGATCATACCGGCACGTTGGTCCGGTTTAATATGAAATTTCCAATTCGCCCACTTAACCATGTATCCATCCTCAACCTGAAAACTTGGACCGTCTGGTTGCTCCATTGACATTGGGTTGACATGGTCAATATGTACCGTTTCATTCAGAAATTCATATCTATATTCCGTACCGGTAGATTTGGGAACCGGAACCGGTCCATTGTCTACAATCTTGATGATCTCTAGTTTATCCATATCGACAGTTAAATAAAGTCCTTCAATAGGTCTCATGTAGAAATTGACAGTGTCTTGCTTTGAGAAACATTGGATTTTAATGACTCGTCGTCCTTCTTCGTCCGGTCCATACCATCCCGCGAACGGTGTAATACAAATCAAACCGGAGAACGGAATTCCACGCGCCTCGATTGAGCGATTGAACTCCACGCTCTTGTAAGGAACCTACATTTTGGAGGGATTGTGGAAATAATTAACCGGTATTCTCAGATTTGGTTTAATTTTAAATAATTAAACCGGTTTACTCAGATTTTGATTCTAATTTAAACCGGACGGACCTGTGAGACTGCGATGATATCTTTCATGGTAAGAATCGGATACCCAAAAGTGGGGTTGACTAAATCAGAAACAACCCGACCCGAATTAAGATCCACAGTGAGCACGTGACTCTCGCCGTTAGACATCGCAAGAACCTCCGCTCTTCGCGGCGGGAGACGATCACCTTTCTTCCACCGGACGACACGTTGCTTCTCCGGCTCGTCGAGAGCCATGGCGTGAATGATGGCTGACCCGGACCCGAAACCCGGATCATGACCCGAGAGAATGGTTTGGACTCTCTTTATTTCAGGTGTCGTTAGTGGGTCAAGCGGGTGGTGAGGCTTCTCTAACGAATACTTGAATCGGGTCTTGGAACTTGACCCGAGAGTAGTGAAGAGAAAGAGTAAGCTTATAAATAAGATAAGGAGTTGAGAGAACGAAGGTTCCACCATTGTTAGTTGAAAACTGAGTTTTTTTAGTGATTGCGGGAAGATAACAAGATAAGTAACATTATTGTTTTTTGTCAACAACTAGCATTATCGATTTTATTCACCACATTTTCAACATGATATTTTTAGTTATTTCTCCCAAGTCCTAACCAGTAAACATGGTGTCCGATCTTACACATCATGAACGAAGCCCATGAGAAGCCCATTATCGTAGAAGTCAATTTTCATGTGGAATATATGTTTTTTTTTTTTTTTTTTTTAACTTTTCTTGTTCAAAGTGGAATATATGTATAAAAAGAGATTTCTAGTGGCATAATATCAAAGTTTCAGTTTTAGTCAATTTCGGTATAGTTTTAGTAATTTGTATGGTGTTGTTTCTAATTTTGTAGAAATTAATTTTCAGATTACTTTTTTTTTTTTTTTTTTTTGATAAACTCTATCGGCTGATCTGGTCGGCCTCGGTAGGAACGCACCGAGGTGCTACAGAGTGGACTTCTCCCGATCCAGGTAGAATTGGACCACCACACTGCCTGATCCGAGTTTGGAATGCCTTCCGACTAATGCCAGGGGTAGTCAGGCCGCCTGCATTTCTGACTACCAGGTAAACCAATTGGGCCAAAGCCCAACTGACAGACTTCCCAAACAAATGTGTTTTTGTTTCCAGGAAGAATCGAACTCGGGTCTGGGAGTTTCATCCTTCACCAAAGCTTCCTCTGCCACTAGACCACAGAGGTTTGGACCAGATTACTTTTTTCTATCATATTTGTTAAGAGTTACTTATGACACAATTTGTCTGATATATGTGTTTGTTTCTCTTATCTATGTGCTTTCTTTAAAATCTTCAATGGTCCCTAGCTACTCTAATTTTCTCCACATTAATTTATTACTTCAATCAACAATAATCAACTATGATGAGTTGATGACTCATATTTGCTTGCAAATTTTAAAGTTTTTTTGGACTATAAATACATTTTTTTAGTGTTGTTACAACATTATTAGTGTTCATCAAAAGAGACCCAAAACACTTTGTAGTGACAAAATAAGAAGAATCGAGTATATCCAAAATTGGTTTCTGTTAGGTGACTTGAACATTTTTTTCAAGTTGAATAATGTTGTTTACTATCAAATTTTGTGATAAAGTAAATCTGTTAAATATACTCATATAAGTTTTTAAAGTACCATGTTATTTATTTGACTAATATTTAAAATTTATAAACTGTCTTTTATATTTGTAAATTTATTAAATTGTAAAGGGAATTCATTAGAAATTCATTCTACTTATTACAAAAAAAAATTCTAGATTTTGAAGCATAAAACATGAAGAAGGGTTTGGTACATACATATCAAAGACCATGTGACCCAACGAGTTTTGTAAAACCAAACGTAATGGCCATAGCTAACCATCCTCCGATCAAAACCCTTAGCGACGACTTAACCACCGGTGCTTTCCCCAAAACCGCCCCTAACCATCCAAACATCACTAACGCCAATGTAACCGCCGCCACAATCACTCCAATCCTCACTTTATACTCTTTCACAAACGCAGCCGCCAATAACGGCACAATCGCTCCTAAAGAAAATGCTAACGCAGACGCGATAGCCGCTAGCGTCGGGCTTGGAAGATTATCTTTCTTTGTCTCCCCTCCGCTCTCTCTCTTCATCTGAGCCACCTCTATGTCGTACTGAGAGTAAACGGAGATAAACTCTCCGATCGCCATGCTACAAGCTCCAGCCACTAAACCGGCAAAACCGGTTAAAAGCATGGTTTTGACGTCTTGCTTCACCGCACCAATACCCATCATAAGTGAAGCCGTTGAGACAAGACCGTCGTTGGCACCGAGCACGGCGGCTCGTAGCCATTGAGCTCGTTTGGAGTAGTCGAAAGGCGTTTCTTGATCTTTCTCCATGTCTAGGTTCAAGTTGTTGTTGGTTTCCATCGTTAGACCTTTTGGTTTTGGTTTGTTAAGTGTGGAGAATATCTGTGAAGTGTGGAGAACACACGCCTAGGATGAATATATGTGAAGTGTGGAGAACACACGCCTAGGATGAATTCTATTTATGGAGTATTTAGTTTTTTAAAAAATTTAGTAATAATGTGACTAATGGAAATACTTTATACTGTTACTATTTTGGGGGAAAAAATGTGGACTAGAAAACCTTCACCTGATTCCTTCTTATCACCGATTTTATTATTTTCAAACTGTGAGGTTTACTTACCAAAACAAAAGGTTGATTTAGTCATAAAATCAACTAAAACAGCTGTAGTTATTTCTTTTTTCTATGTTAATAATAGAGAAATTGTTAAAAATGCCCCTTTTTCAATATCCCTTTTCAAAAATGCCCCCTTTGAGAGTCCATTTTTAAGTTTGCCCTCTTTTAATTTTTAATGACCATTTTACCCTTATTTGAAACAAAATTAGGTCCACAAAATACAAAATATTTTTTGGCGGGAAAAGTGATCCCGCAATTTTCCCGCCAAAACACTTGTAAAAAACCTTTAAAATACCTTGTAAAATTTTCCCGTAAAAATTTTTCCCGCCAAAAATTTTTTTTTGCGGGAAAAGTGATTCCGCAATTTTTTTTTTTTGGCGGGAAAATTTTTGGCGGGAAAAATTTACAAGGTATTTTAAAGGTTTTACAGAGTATTTACAAGTGTTTTGTAAGGTTTTACAATGTATTTTAAAAGGTTTTACAAGGTACTTATAAGGTTTTATAAGGTATTTATAAATTGTAAAACCTTATAAAAAACTTGTAAAACCTTATAACTTGTAAAAACCTTATAAAATAGCTTGTAAAATCTTATAATATCTTATAAATACCTTATAAATACGTTGTAAAACCTTTTAAAATACATTGTAAAACCTTATAAATACCTTGTAAAAAACCTTTAAAATACCTTGTAAATTTTTGGCGGGAAAAATTTTCCCGCCAAAAATTTAACGCCAAAAAAATTGCGGAATCACTTTTCTCGCAAAAAAAATTTTTTTGGCGGGAAAAATTTTTACGGGAAAATTTTACAAGGTATTTTAAAGGTTTTTTACAAGTTTTTACAAGTGTTTTGGCGGGAAAAATTGCGGGATCACTTTTCCCGCTAAAAAATATTTTGTTTTTTGTGGACCTAATTTTGTTATATTTCCTTATATATTTGTGATATCTTTTATTAAAAGAAGGGTAATTTAGTCATTTTGTACATAAAAAGGGGTATTTTTAAAAATGGACAGCCAAAGGGGGTATTTTTGAAAAGGGGTATTAAAAAAGGGGCATTTTTGTGAGTCTCCCATAATAATATGTATTATATTGACTATCCAACTGGTAGTATTACAAACTACACTCTATACAATTTGAAATAAATATGATTACTCACCTTAATAGGTTTCTTTTTCTTTGCGAGACGCGAAAACATCGAAACAATCTGACTAAAACCGAAAGGGTAATTACATACTTTTCATATGAGGTGTAACGGCGTCTTCATGATTAAAGCCATTCGTAATTTATAGCCCAAATTTTTTGTTAAACTGATAAATACCTTATAACTCTACATATGTTACGTTTTTACTTTTCTTTTTTGATACGAAATTCATTTGCAAGATTTCACAATCTCTGCAAACCTCGAAGCAGAGGTTGAGTGATCGTTTAAGCACTCATCATTTTAGCGATGAGTCATGTGTAATTAAAATTAGTGATTAAGAGACAAATTTATCTAGTGTTTAGCTTTTGGTGATTTGCGTAATTATCATACCCTACTAATAACCTACTTGATTCGTTGTTAACTTATTTTTCTTATTCTTCAGTTTTTACATTTGTAATTGCATGTACTTATAAGAATGGGATCATGACTATTTTTTATTTTATTTTATTTAAATGGTGGTTTTCTTTTCAAGTTGCACACCAACTCTTACTTTTTGAAATATAACTAGTCCAATCTAGAAACTTTTTAATTTTTATATTTTTCAATCAATAGTAAGTGTATAGTTTAAAAAGCATACCTGATAAATACACATTCACTTATTCATCACTTATGACAATCAAAAAAATTCAATACTTCGATATCTCCATTATTTTAGTATAAAGATTTAGACACAACATTTGCCCAAAAGAAAAATATTTAGCAACATAAAACGAGATAAATAGTATCATCGAATTTATCATCGAATATATAGAATTTTAATTATACCTTTATCAGTGGATATATATTCCTGTATTTTTTATTCTTCTAGCGTTAGTCTAACTTAGAATTTAGAAAGTATTTGTTAAGAATAAAAGTATTTGTTGAATTGATTACTTAACTACCCTCTCTATTACAACCTCATAATGAATACTTTTGTTTTTGAAAAACAATTAACTGCCACGTGATTAGGATCGTCAAATTCATCTAAATATTGTTTCACTTTTGTAATTTTAATTGTAAACACATCGTACTAAAACTCTTCATGGTTGAATAATGATGAGCTATGGATGTATATCTTATCAAAAATATATAAAAAAACATGTACTGATATACATGTGGAATACACTTAGGAAATTAGCCTATTAAATTAAACGGATTAAAAATGTTTAGTGGCACATCTAAAACTTGAATCTTTCCTCTCTTTTTTTGTCTAGCTTTTAGTGATTTGCGTAGCATTTTTTTGAGCAATTATTTAATATGCATAGCATTTTTTGAGCAATTAAGCTATACAAATAACATCCATAGTCTTATGAGCAATTAAGCTATTCAAAAAGTAATCTCTTAATAGTTGATCACCCTCATGATGAACATGTGAATTTTAGAGTTAACATGTAAAAATTTAAAAAGGATATAATAGATTTCTTGTGGCAAAGTATCAAGACTCAATTTTTCCAAAGTTTGGTATAGTTTTAATAATTTGCATGCTAATATTTCCGATAATTAGTTGAAATAATTTCTTAGTGTTTTCTTATCATATTTGATAGAGTTAGCACACAAACAATCTGTTATTTTCCTAGCATGGTCATAAATAATGTCTAGTTAATGTGCTTGTTTTAATTTGTTTTTTTTTAACATCTATATTTCTTTCAAATCTTGAACGGTCCCTAGCTACTCTAATTTCCTTCAATTAATTCATTACTTGATTTGACAAAGACTCATAACATTGAAATTTTTTAAAAAATTTGGAGTATACAAATTTCTAGGTGTTGTTACACCATTATCAATGTACAAAAGGAGACGCATGAAAATTGTAGTGGCACAAGAAAAAGTTGTATTTTACCCTAAATTGATTTCAGTAGTTGTACTCAATTCAAAGTCTCATCGAAGTAATCAACTAGAGGTTGAGTCGTGTAGAAACTAAAAGCATAGTAGGTAGATTTAACTTCTTGTGATAAAGTTGATGAGTTAAAATATATATACAGTCTCATAAAAATTTTAAATAATAATATGTTTTTGTTGAAATAAATTTAAAATATATAAAATGTCTTTGATGGATTCATGAGAATTCAGTAAATTATATTTATAAATTTATATGGAATTCATATTAAGGAATTCAATTTAGACACTTTTTTTCTTCAGTTTATAGACTTGAAGCATGAAACATTGAAACATGAAGAAGAGTGAGTTTGGTCACACATGTCAGTAAACTCACACATACATATGACCATGTGACCCAATGAGTTTTGTAAAACCAAACGTAATGGCCATAGCTAACCATCCTCCAACCAAAACCCTAAGCGACGACTTAACCACCGGTGCTTTCCCCAAAACCGCCCCTAACCATCCAAACATCACTAACGCCAACGTAACCGCTGCCACAATCACTCCAATCCTCACTTTATACTCTTTCACAAACGCAGCCGCCAATAACGGCACCATCGCCCCGAGAGAAAACGCTAACGCAGATGCTGCAGCCGCTTGGGTCGGGCTCGGGAGCTTCTCTTTCTCTACCTCTCCTCCGGTCTCTCTCTTCATCTGAGCCACCTCTATGTCATACTGAGAGTAAACGGAGACAAACTCTCCGATCGCCATGCTACAAGCTCCGGCCACTAAACCGGCAAAACCAGTTAAGATCATGATCTTGACGTCTTGCTTCACCGCACCAACTCCCATCATAAGTGAAGCCGTGGAGACTAGACCGTCGTTCGCACCGAGCACGGCGGCTCGTAGCCATTGAGCTCGTTTGGAGTAGTCAAAAGCCTTTTCTTGATTTTCCTCCATGTCTAGGTTCAAGGTGTTGTGAGATTCCATGGTTCAACTTAAATCTTTTGGTTTTGTTAAATGAGAAAGACTGAAAAATGAAAGTGGAGAATATCGGTGGAGTGTGGAGAACACACGCCAAGGTTGAGTTCTATTTATTGAGAGATTTTGTATGAGTATTTAATTTTTAGAGAAAATAATAGTAATGTGGTGGAGTCGACAATTAGTGTATGTGGGGCAATATCATCACTAACATAAACACTTTTACTACATTTGACAAAATGTGGACTAAAACCCTCACCTCTTTTCCTCTTATTAGTTATTACTGATTATTTTCAAATCTTTTCATCACTTGAATTCGTAAACTTTTCATACAGTATCGTTGTAGAGAAATTTTTCAAAATAAAATAAGTTTAGAAGATTAACCGATTCGTTAATTCATTTTTATATATTTATAGACAAAATTTCTAATAAAATAATATTTTAAATTAAATAAATAGAACATTATAGTAAACCATTAACCACACTCAATGCGTTGGTAGATTTCGATTATTATTATTATTATTATTATTATTTTTTTTTTTTTTTGATTTCGATTATTTAGTATGACGATTTATAAACTTATCTTATATAAGACCAAATGAGAAAAATGAACTTATACTTTTCATTGTTTATTACTTTAAATATAGTCATTGTTTAAGAAAATTTAAGAACTATAGGTGGTCGGTGATTCATTTTTTCTTTATCCCTTTTCTTAGTACACAAAAACTATGAAAATGTTTTTCTATAAAACAAAAAATTAATCCTCTATTTGACTCTTTAATTTACTTTATGTTTATTTTTGTTATTTTATACTACTTGTTTCTCGACAAAGAAAATGATTCCAAAACAAAAGGGGGTTAATCATATCATATATAAACGTTATTTTTCAAATATTAATTAAGGTAATAATTTCTGAGTGTTTGATCATAAGACATTCATGACAGCGATATATAATATAATATTATTCAGCATGAAGGGGATCAAATTTGAATTATATGCTTTTCACATAGATCCTTTGATCAAGCAATTAGAGCCGTCTGCAAGTGAAAATCATAATTAAACACAAAAATTAATAGTACATAACATGGACATGTAAAAGTTGATTTTTTTTTAATATAAAATTAAAAAATAGATGGATTGATAAATTGGAAAAGCACTAAGAAATAAATTATAGAAAGAGGGACGAATGTAGTTAATTTGATTTCCACATGAATAGCATCATCATCACTTGTTAAACTCACACATTCACATCTACGTGCAATGTTTCTTATCAGTTATACAAAATGATTTCAAAAAGTAATATCAGTTTTTGTAATCGACACAAAATTAACATCATTTAAAACAACCGACACAAATATTACGTATAGTTACATCAATTGTTAACAAAACGATGCGAATTATTTGCATCACCATTTTCAGAGTCATTTATTTAAGTGATGCAAAATTTTTTTGCATCAATTATAAGTAATACAAAAATTTAAAATAAATGATACAAAATGATCTTTTTTTTTGTAGTGTGTATGCATGCATACGTATTCGCTTACGTGCTCTAAATATATACTAATCACTAATTTATATATTTACTTTCTATTAAAATTTTCTTAGAGCAACAGCAATGGGAGTACCTTAAAGGGCTCTACCCATAGTTTCTTGTAATAAAAGGCCCAAATATAAATTCAAACATAAATAAAAGCCAAGGTCCGTTTCTAATTTAAGGTTTTTTTTGTTGCTGTAAGAGGCGCTACGTGGCGTCATTTCATTGGGAAGAAAAGTGAGAAAAACAAAAAAAAAAAATTCTTTCGCGTTTCAGTTTTCTCGACCCTCTCTCTCTTCTCTTTGTTTTCTCCGACGGCGAATCTCTTTGAGCTTCAATTCCGGCGATATACATCATCAAATCGGAAGTAAAAGGCGAAGCCTTTGTCAACAATAAGCCGTGATGCTCATCTCCACCGTCGGCGTGGTCACCAACAGTAGTTCGTCGAGCCGACATCAGTGGGTTCTGCAAATCAAATCGGAGAGAAAGGCGATTCCAGTGGCTCCAATCGCTTCCTCACGGTACGAATCTCTCTGTTTTATTTGTTATTGTATGTTCTTTAAGGAAGCGAACCCAATTGAGAGATTTCATTAACAAATCCAAAGCTACTGTTTTTGTTTTCTTTCGGGGAAAAAGTTTAGAATTTTTCTTAGCTTGTGCTCTTAGCTTGATTTCTCTTCTTAGCTCATTTCTAAAACTATTTGTAATGAGAAAGATGGTTTACTCTGTTTTTCGTTTACTATTACAGGTTTTAAGGAACATTGATCTAGTCTATGGAGGTGGAAGCATAGGTTTGATGGGTTTGGTTTCACAAGCTGTTCATGATGGTGGTCGCCATGTTATTGGGTAACTCTTCATCTATTCACCATTTAAGTGTCATACTTGCTTACTCACATATCTTAATAAGTCTCTCTTTTTTCTCATCTTTGGTGTTATTTGGCCACGGAGTTATCTTAATTAGGTTGCTGATTTGATGGCTTTTGTTGCATCTGCTAGCTCTCCATGGGAAGAAAATAAATCTAACTATATAGATTCATTTGGAAATCAGTGTATTTCTGTGTTCAGAACAATTTGTCTACCAAGCACCACTGTATTGATTCGTGTAAGTTTCTTGCTTGTCTATATATTTTTTAAATGTTGTGATGTTCTTTCTTGTATAGTTTTTGTCTTTGATGTGTTTTCCAATGAATCTTGTATACTTTGTAATATTATTGTCATGAATCTTTGTTATTCAAAATGTGTTTATCAAAAATGTATCAAAAACTTGTACAGTTTGTCTTCTCTATCTTTTTTTTCAAGCAATCAAAACTCAAACACCAAATTTTATTTTCAAATTTTTCTTTCTTAAGGATCCCTTAAGGAATCCTACCATTGGACATGAATATTTCTAGCAAATCCTTAACTTTATATTTGTCAAAATTTACAATTAAAAAATTCTTAAGGATCCTTAGGAGATCCTTACCATTGCTGTTGCTCTTAGACTCTTTAATATACACACACATATTTTATTACATAATTTGCTATGATAGAAATAATCTGGATATCCCCTCCGCTAAGAGAACTCGTTAATCTTGATAACATGCTTTATAATTTTTTATTGATTTATGAATTGTGATTGAGTGGGGACATAACAATACATTCAAAATTTGACCCTAGTTATCAAAACATTCCATTCAAAAGTTTTTTTTAAACTTTAAAATAGTTTCTGGGTAATTAACAAAAAAGGGATTACAAGTGCATTGACTAATGAGATAATTTCAATTTTTCATATTGTTGCTTATCGTAAATATACTTAATTTAAAACACTAGATGTTTAATTTATAACATTTAATTTGGATTCTCACATCTTAAAACTAATCTTATCAGTGGTTCTTTTATAACACCATATGTTTTTCTTTTCATACAACAAGAAAACATTAAACAAATCTACGTGTAAATAATTAATGAAGGTCATGGCAAGAAGAATGGTGAAACTTCTTGGATCAGGAAGAAACATAAGCTTCCAAGGAAGCTTCACCCTTGTTCTTTTCATGACATTCATTGATTATTTATCACTTAGATTTGTTTTATGTTTCTTTGTGGTATGAAAAAGAGGCATGCACTTATGGTCTCAAATGAGGACGTGAGAACTCAAATGTTGTAAATTTAAACTTTCGTCAGTGCCTCAAATTAAGTATATTTAGATAAGTAGCAATAAGAAACTGAAACTCTCATATAGAATAATGCACTTGTAATCCTTCTTTTTTTGTGTGTTAAATGTTTTGTTAGTTACATATAGATCCCATTTTATAATTAAAAATGTTTGAATGGATTGTTTTGTTAATTAAGTAGATTCAAACCCGCTTTGTTATCAGTATTATGTAGTCTATATTTGTATAATGTTATAATCTAACTTCCCAAATTTAATGAGTAAAATTAATTTCTTTGCTATGTAAGATTAATTAGATGTGGTCTTAAACATCAATTCTATTATGCTTGATTAATTTTCTTAAATGAATGCCATAATAATTTTAATGCATTTGACAAAATTTGACTTTCATTCAATATGATATTTTTCTAGTTCTTTGAATAGATGTGTTATTAAATTTAATATTTTATTTTACTTCGAATTTTTTTTTAATTGTAGAGCTTTAGTAATAATTGTTATAATATTTTTGTTGTGAAGAAATTAAAGCACCAAATCCCAAATTTGCTATTACAATATTTTTCTCAAAAAAACAAAGATGACTGTTTCTGTAAAAAGATTATGAACATCGTGGGCCAAATATTGTTAATGGCTTATCTCGGCCCATTGGACCATATCTTTATCAATTACACTCTTTTCAAAAATCCTTACTTTATTTTCCTCCTCCACTGCGTCTCTCAGCTTTTTGGCTTGTGGGTATCGGAATGATGAAAGAGCTCTCCTTTCTGGGATCCGAGAAGCAATTCGACGAAACCCTTTGCCGCTAAAACCATTCCAATCAAGGCAGTAGTGATTGGGAGTGAGAGATTAATAATGCCGGTGGTGGCGACCAGTCTCGTTTCGCTTCAGGAGAAGCTTAAAGTGGAGGAGCCATACCTTCCTCCGCGCAATTGGGAATCTTTATCTTCTCAGAGCCGCCGATTTCTTCCTCCAACTCGTTCTTCTGCTTCTTCTTCCTCTGTCTCTGTAAGTTTCGAACTTGCATTTTGCTTTTGTGTCAGCGTATCTGTTTCTGTCTTCTATCTATGTGGGTTAGATCGGATACCCTAATTGGGAAACTATCAATTGCAGTGAGTTATTTTATTGATTGAGTTTGCTTAGGATCAATCTAGGATTTTTGGTTCCAAAACGCGGTAAGCTAGTGCTCGATTTACATGATATTGGGGCAGAATAGTTTTCTAGGGAAGATTACAATGTTTGTTTTTTTGGTGTCTAACTTCTGGCTACATACATTTCCAAGTGAAAATGTTCTAAGATTGTTATAGTTAGTAATGACAACGATGTACTGTCTTTAGTGCTTAGATGAGATATGTAGATAGTCCTTTCATAGTCTAGCTCTGCGTTATCTAGAGAAATATGTTTGTAATTGAACCTACTTCTCATTTCTTACATTTTGTTGCTTGTGATAGGAATCGAGCTTGATCAGGTTGGCGTTGAATGCTCTTCAAGGTGTTGAGTCTTCTCTTATTAGCATAGAGCAGATCTCTTCGGCATTATGCTCTGAGCCAGCTGATAGGACCCTCCACAAAATTCCGAGCTTGTGGCATCGGTTGTCAAGCACTGATGCCTTGGGACAGATTCTTAGAAATATAGGCTGCTTTGGTTCTTTGGTCTTTCTTCTCCATAAGTTCGTAGACCATTTCACAAGCTTGAATTTGGATGTGGAAACAGCTGTTGAGGGACAGGGGAGCTATAAAATTGGTGAAAATGAAGAAGTCAATAACAAAAGCTGCTATACTCTTGTTAATCAGGCTTTTGCTATTGCTGTGAGAAAGGTCCTTGAAGGCTATATATCTGGGCTGGATACATTATGTGCATCGATAGAACTGAGGCGTTCGTCAAACATTGTTGATGGGTCTGACCATGGTTCCTCTTCGTCAGGCTGCCTTACAAACGTCGTTCATCCAAAGATAACATTATTGGAAGTTTTTCTGCATACTAGAGAGTTAAGAACACAGATTGAAGCTCTTGCAAACATATGCAATTTGTATGATATACCCCTTTCTTACTGTGCCTCTCCTTGGGAATGTCTGATTACTGAAGCAACCACGCGATTTCATGGGTTCTACAGAGGAAGCGACCTGCTTACTTACTTATATACACAACTACAGGTCAGGTTGTTATGTTCCTCATTTACTATTCGTCCTTTTTCTCTTTCATGAGGCACATAGTTATTGGTTAATGTAGCCTACGGGTTCAGTTGTTTCCCATTCACATTTTAGTGATGATTACGTTGCCTCATTAAATTTTGCATCTCTGTACTCTCTACTCTCTAAATTCTGCATATCAGTAACTGCTGGATTTACATATTTTATAGAGATTTGAAAGAATATCAGTCATGGCATTTAAATAATTCTATGCGGACCACTTGATATGGTGATTATAGTTGCAAGTTATGCTTAAAGTAAGTAATATACATAACCTCTGAACCAGGAGCTTGAACGTTTTAAAATTTTGGTCTGACTATTTTCCCGACATATTCTGTTGTAGGTTGCTGATCCTGCTCACAGTGCTATGCTTAAGTTTTTGTTCCTCAAAACATGTGAGCCATATTGTGAGTTTATAAGATCTTGGATGTTTAAAGCCGAACTTAATGATCCTCACAAGGAGTTCATTGTGGAATGTCTCAGCGAATCGACATCTTTTTCTTGGAATAAGCCTGGCACCTCCCCATTGAAGAGCGTAAGGGTAATATTTTCTTGCGTTTACTGCATTTTTGACTTTAGTATCTTTAAACCATGGGTGTCTGATTGCTTTCTTTTCTGCCCCTAGGAGCAAGGAGGGCTTGTTCCGTGTTTCTTGAACGGCTTCTTGGAACCTATACTAAGGGCTGGTCAACAGCTTCAAGTAATTACAAAACTTCTGGAACTGTGTAATCTTCCTGCGTCTGGACACAAAAATTACACAGATCTTCTTCCGTGTTGGACGTATTTTTCTACTTCTAGTCCAGGGCACCCATCTCCAATAACTTTCAGCAAATTACAAATAGAAGTGATGGTAAAGAAAAGAGACGATTACTACAGAATGATGCAAGAAAAACTTGGTGACTTTTCAGAAAAGTTTGAGCTCTTCCCTGGGCAGGTAATGTGCTTCTTTTGATTTGTCCTTTATATATACCAATCATTAACTCTTGACCTCTTCTTTTTTTTTCCGAACCTTGGGTGTTTTTGGTTTATGTGTCTGATTGTACTCTCTCGTTACTCGTCTCTTTACTCGTCTCCTGACTTTACTCGTCTTATAGGCCATAGGTGGTTTTACTCTGTTGTGAATCAATTTTGTCTTAGGTAATTTAATATCTTACTAATAGTTCAGTTGAAATCTTGTGTTTATATCCTGAATGAGATCAAATATCTATTTTTGATCCTACATAATAAACTATGATATCAAAATTAATATCATTGGGAGTCTCTCTCATACAGTAGCTTGCAGTTGTCTTGGTTAAACAAGACCTAAATGTGCATGTACGTTCAAATCTTAAATGCATGCGACATCGTCAGTGTCAGTTTTGCGTTGCACTTAAGGATTCATTCATATTAGACCATTCATTGGAGAAGCGTCTCATTCTCTGGTTTTCTTAACTGTGAGCTGACGGTGCAAGTGAGTAATATAGGGACCTTAAAAGTTATTCTTTTTTTGGTTGTATTTGGAGCTAATGAGAAGTTATTTCTTTTCGGTTCTGTCATGTAATTACATTTTAATTTTTAGGTTCCTGGAGCATTATCTTTACCAATATCCTATGGCGACGGAGACAAAAATTCTGTTTATTTCACACTGGATGAGAGTTTACTAATTCCTTCAACAGTGGCAATAGACTTGACCAGGTGTTCTTCCTGATTCTATTTATCAATTAACCCCAGCCTGATGAACGTGAATTGACGACATTTTCTTGGGTTTCAGGGACCAGAGTGGCTCAGATTCTGATGACCAGAATACAGAAGACAGATGGTTTTCAGAGATAGATGTATCATGCTCATCTGAATGTTCATCGACTAGGGATTCTTTGGAAGCATCCGATGTTGGACTCCTTGATTCACAAAGTACATTAGTGGGACCTCCACCAAATTATTTATCAGCTCTACGTTTCTCTGTTGCCTCTGATGGGAATTGTAAGCAGAATCTGGTTCAGCATAGTGATTCAGGTTATATAGACAATAATTTTGTGAAGCAAGGTGAGAAGGCAGATACTAATCATCAGTGGATGGATACTATTACTGAGCCAGAAGAGTCAACTGGAGTATGTGAAGATGATAAATTTAGGGGGCCTATTTCTATTAAGTCATGGCCCCTTGGCGGATTACCTAGAAATCCGCTTTGTGTTGATAAGAAGTCTGCAGAAGATGACAGAGAAGATCCAAGAAATGATTCAGGAGCTATGACGGAACAGAGGCACTTAATGAATACTGATGAAGGCAAACTATTTTTAAACAACATTTCCACCAGTGGCAGCTGTTCAAAGCACGAGAGGAGACATGATTTGCTGGAAAACTGTCTTTCATCGAAATTAGATTTGATGAAAGACACAAAGGTAAACTACCCTTACGAGGTGCTCAGTATGAATCCTTTACTGAGATGTGATTTCTTGCGCAAGCATGGAAATACAAACAGCAGGAACCAGGGGAAATCATTGCCTTGGTTTGATTTTTCTGCGGTGGATGACCCTTCAAAAACATGTCTTACCAGGATACCTGTACGAGTCCCTATTGATTTTCATAAGGAATCTCATAGTTTTCAGACTGATAGAAAGCGCCATCGCCATGCCAACCAAGAATGTGGGATAGATAGGTTTGATGTTGAAGAACCTAAAGTTTCTTGCAGTCATTTATCTTCTGGTATAAAAGGTTGCGCTGAAGAAAAAAAATTAAATGCATTTGGTGGAGGTAGATGGGAGGGTATGCTTCGTAGATCAAATAACCCTGAAACTAGTGCCTTTAGTGATCGCAGACAGGACTCCTCTGGCACATTTGAATTGCCACTTGATTTTGTTATAGACAAGTGTCTACTGCAGGAAATTCATCTTCAGTATCCTTCTCGATACATTCATTTGCGATAAATATACATAATTAGGTTTATAATTTGACATGTGGCTGTCATTTCCTTTCTAGAAATGTTTTTCTCGTGATAACATATATCTTTCTTATATCACCTTTTCCTTAACAGACAATAGATATAACTTTGTCAGTAAGCTAGCTATCAAGTTGCTCGAAGAAGGATTTGGCTTGCAAGAACATCTGCTAGCTCTACGTAGATATCATTTCATGGAACTAGCAGATTGGGCAGATGTATTTGTAGTGTCCGTTTGGCATCATGTAAGTCTGATATCAATCTATTATATTGTGATGATTCTATTTTACATCTTTAGATGATGCTTATATATATTTTCTCTCATTTGGATTCCCAGAAATGGCTTGTTACAGAGGCAGATAAGAGAATTGCAGAAATCCAAGGGTTTCTAGAATCATCAATTCAGAGATCATCATGTGAACGAGACATTTGTAAGGACAGGTTATTTTTGTACAAAAGACAAGGCACAATGCATATCCCACCATCAACCATTGGTATGGTCTTGCACTTAGCAAATTAATTACTACTGTGCGTGGTGAATGTTAAATCTTATACTGATGTTTGGAAATTTGCAGGAGTGCGTTCCTTTGATTTCCTAAGGTTGGGTTATCGAGTGGACTGGCCAATCAGTATAATTTTAACATGCGATGCCCTGAAAGCGTATGCGGATGTATTTAGTTTCCTGGTTCAAGTGAAACTAGCAGCCTATGTATTAACTGATGTCTGGTGTTCACTGAAGGTAAAGGTTCGACTTTGTTGATTCACTCCTTGTGACATAACCCCTCTTAATAGAAAATTTATCTGCAATTTTCTAAATTCGTCATGGAAGATGTGACTTTGATTCACTCCTTGTGACATAGCCCCTCTTAATAGAAAATTTATCTGCAATTTTCTAAATTCGTCATGGAAGATGTGACTTGAAAATTGTTTTTGATGGTCTGCCTGATATTTCTCGTGGCACTATTTATCTCCTGGGTTAATGGCACAATAACTGTATTGTCCTTTTAGGATGTAAGACATATGATGCATGAGAATAAAGAGAAGATATTGAAGCAAGAACTCCGGTGGTTGAACATATTGATGAAACTAAGGTAGATTTTAAAATAAAGGTTTCGCACTTTCATAATTTCCGGGTGACTCATTGAGCTAAGTATCTATTAGGCAATGTGACTGCATGATTAGGTACAGTGATCATATTTCTTCTGGCATGACCATTTATAAGAGTAACAAAAAGTATTGATATCAATCCATGCAATATCTGTGAAAATGTTAAATGTCATTAGAACATTTGTATTGTTTTTTCATCACAGTACTTGTATGATACACAATGTAGTTTTCAGATTATGTATTCTCTATGTCCCCCTGGCTATCTTTGACGTCTTTCTTCTATGTGACAGGCATCAGGTCAACCATTTTGTAACAGCACTACAGCAATATGTACATTCAGAATTATCTCACGTATCATGGTCCAAGTTCCTTCATTCCCTGAAAAATAAGGTCTGGGCACACCTTGCACTCTACAGTTTATTTGGTCAAAATATAAATATGCCTCTATGATGGCCTGCTGAAATGTTATTTTACCGAAAACTAGGATTCTTTGTATAATTGTTGAGTATGAGCATCTCAAGCGAACTTCTGTCACTCTAGCTTATTGGTGGTACTGGTTTAACTTCATTGCGTAGCTACTCTAAAACCAATGTGCCTAGTGTATAATTTGTTGCGATTATAGTGGTGGTTTCTCCTTTAATTGGTTTCCCCTGGTTTTTCAGGTCAAGGATATGATGGATCTTGAATCTGTGCATATGGCTTATCTAAGTGAGGCTTTGCGCATGTAAGTCTTTTTTTATCAACTTCAGAAGTCAGAATTCAGTTGCAAAGCAAAATTTTGCTTCTGACCATTTTGTGTCACTGTAATTTGACTGACCTGATCCAATGCTCTTTCGAAACACACCATATAATCTAACCGCGCGTTATCAAACCCATGCAGATGTTTCCTATCTGACGAAACTCGAGTCATATCTAACATCATAGAGAACATCTTGCAATGCGCACTGGATTTCCGGTCTTGTCTTCCCAGAGGTATTCAGAGTACAGATCGAGTCCCAAACGATTCACAGACAAAAACACTAGGCATAAACACATCTCAGGTAAAAGAAGAATGTACATATAAAATCCTTTTTTTCGCGGGTGTTTTCAGTTTGTTGCAAGAGCTGACCTTTATAATCACACAAAACAGGTGATAATGGTGAAACAAAATTTTGACAAAGAGTTAAAAGAGCTACATAAGTGTCATCTGAGATCACCAAAACATGGGAAATTTGGACTCTCTCGCTTCTGGGACTACCTCAACTTCAACCTTTATTACTCAGATATCCTTCATGACTCTAACATCTTCTCTCTTATTCCTTAGAAGTTAGAACCACATTGTCTGATACTCTTATGTGTGTTGTATATTTGTGTGTTATATGTTGCACTTCCATATTTTAGTTCAGTACAGTTTTCACACAAATAATTGAGATCTCTTATTAGTCTTTTTCCCTGTCACTCTATTATTACTAAAAGAAGCGAATCATCTTTTTGCCACTAGACATGTTATTATAATATATTTTTGTTGGAAGATCTTTTTTACCATTTAGAGACAGAGAAGTGTACACAAAATGTATTAGTAAACAAGTCAAAAGTCTCGATTTAGTGGTGAAAGCGATATCCACTCTGCCTTCATTATCTCATCGAGGTCGTCAAAATATTTGTCCTCTTTATATATGTGGACAAGGAATATTTCGGATACGTTTACACTTACAGAGACAGGTAGAGAGAAAGAGGAAAAGAGAGATAATGAGCTTGGTTTTCGCCATTAACGGGCAAAGGTTCGAGCTTGAGCTCTCCTCTGTTGACCCTTCAACAACTTTGTTGGAGTTTCTTCGTTATCAGACTACTTTCAAGAGCGTTAAGCTCAGCTGCGGTGAAGGTGATTGTTTTTTTTTTATCCTTTCTTCTTCTTCTTTGTGGTTCTTTGTCTGATATTGTTGTTGTTGTTTTGGTTCAGGAGGATGTGGTGCTTGTGTTGTTCTTCTGTCCAAGTACGATCCTGTTTTACAAAAAGTAGAAGATTTTACCGTCAGCTCTTGCCTCACTCTCCTCTGCAGCGTCAACCACTGCAGTATTACGACATCAGAAGGACTTGGGAACAGCAGAGACGGTTTCCACCCGATTCACAAGCGGTTATCCGGTTTCCATGCCTCTCAATGTGGTTTCTGTACCCCTGGGATGTGTGTTTCTCTGTTCTCTGCACTCTTAGACGCTGACAAGTCTGAATCTTCCGAGCTTACGGTTGTCGAAGCAGAGAAGGCTGTCTCGGGAAACTTATGTCGGTGTACTGGTTACCGTCCGATTGTTGATGCTTGTAAGAGCTTTGCTTCGGATGTTGACATTGAGGATCTTGGACTCAACTCTTTCTGTAGGAAAGGGGATAAAGATTCTAGTAGTTTAACTCGGTTTGATAGTGAGAAGCGTATTTGTACATTTCCGGAGTTTCTCAAGGATGAGATTAAGTCTGTGGATTCTGGAATGTATCGATGGTGTAGCCCGGTGAGTGTTGAGGAACTATCGAGCTTATTGGAAGCTTGCAAGACTAAGCGTGATGGAGTATCTATCAAATTGGTTGCTGGTAACACAAGTATGGGATACTATAAGGATGAAAGAGAGCAGAGTTACGACAAATACATAGATATAACTCGAATCCCGCAGCTCAAAGAGATAAAAGAAAACCAGAATGGGGTTGAGATCGGATCAGTGGTAACAATCTCTAAAGTTATTGCTGCTCTGAAGGAGATTCGGGTCTCTTCGGGAGTAGAGAATATGTTTGGGAAACTTGCTACTCATATGGAAAAGATTGCGGCGAGATTTATCAGGAACTTAGGTAGCATTGGGGGAAACCTTGTAATGGCTCAGAGGAAACAGTTTCCTTCTGACATGGCCACAATACTTCTTGCAGCTGGGGCATTTGTTAACATAATGAGCTTGCCAAGAGGACTCGAAAAGCTAACACTCGAAGAGTTCCTTGAACGTTCTCCTCTTGAGGCTCATGATCTGGTTCTGAGTATTGAAATTCCTTTTTGGCAATCTGAAACAAACTCTGAATTACTCTTTGAAACCTATCGAGCTGCACCGCGTCCAAATGGAAGCGCTCTGGCTTACCTGAATGCTGCTTTCTTTGCTGAAGTGAAGGATACAATGGTAGTTAACTGTAGACTGGCTTTCGGGGCTTACGGGACCAAACACGCCATTAGATGTAAGGAAATTGAAGAGTTCCTGTCTGGTAAAGTAATAACTGAAAAAGTTCTGTATGAGGCTATTACCTTACTTGGCAATGTCGTGGTGCCTGAAGACTGTACAAGCAATCCCGCTTACAGGTCAAGCTTGGCGCCGGGATTCCTTTTCAAGTTCCTTCACACCTTAATGGCTCATCCTACTACAGATAAACCTTCAAATGGTTACCACTTGGATCCACCAAAACCGTTGCCAATGTTGTCTTCTTCACAACATATTCCTATAAACAATGAATATAATCCAGTTGGTGAGCCTGTTACTAAAGCTGGAGCTTCCCTTCAGGCTTCTGGTGAGGCTGTTTATGTGGATGATATTCCATCTCCCACAAACTGCCTCTATGGAGCATTTATCTATAGCAAAAAGCCATTCGCACGGATAAAAGGTATTCATTTCAAGGAAAATTTGGTACCTACTGGAGTTGTTGCAGTCATTTCTCGCAAGGATGTTCCTAAAGGTGGAAAGAATATTGGTATGAAGACTGGATTAGGCTCCGACCAATTATTCGCAGAGGATTTCACCATTACTGTAGGCGAATGCATCGCCTTCGTGGTAAGTTCATTCATATTTTTCCATGAGATTCAGTTCCATCACCAGCAGTTTTAGCAACACTTTGTTTTTGCAGGTTGCTGATACGCAGAGACATGCAGATGCTGCAGCAAATCTTGCAGTAGTTGAATATGAAACAGAGGATTTGGAATCACCGATCTTATCTGTAGAAGACGCGGTCAAGAAATCTAGTCTGTTTGACATTATCCCTTTCTTTTATCCACAACAAGTTGGTGATACATCAAAAGGAATGGCTGAAGCTGATCATCGAATTCTCAGCTCGGAAGTATGTTGTGTAGTATTGTTTTTAAGTAAAAATTAGATATATATGTTCAACCTTTATGAATTTTGATGTGAAACAGATTCGACTCGGGTCGCAATACTTCTTCTACATGGAGACACAAACAGCTCTTGCAGTGCCAGATGAAGACAACTGCATTGTAGTCTATAGTTCAACTCAGACCCCTCAGTACGTACACTCCTCGGTCGCTGCTTGCCTAGGCATCCCTGAAAACAACGTCCGTGTCATAACCAGACGTGTTGGTGGAGCTTTTGGAGGAAAAGCTGTCAAGTCAATGCCAGTAAGTTTTCTAAAAGTGTCCTCTTTTTTCCCTCACTTTCTGCAAGAAATGGACCAAAACCTCAAAGCTTTCTACTGTCTCAGGTTGCAACAGCGTGCGCTCTTGCTGCTAATACACTGCAGCGTCCTGTGAGGACTTATGTAAACCGCAAGACCGATATGATAATGACTGGCGGGAGGCATCCGATGAAGATAACCTACAGTGTGGGTTTCAAATCCACAGGGAAGATCACAGCTTTGGAGCTAGAAATACTAATTGATGCAGGGGCAAGTCTTGGTTTTAGTACGTTTATTCCATCAAATATCATTGGGGCGCTAAAGAAGTACAATTGGGGCGCCTTATCTTTTGATATCAAACTTTGTAAAACAAATCTTCTAAGCAGAGGAATCATGAGATCCCCCGGAGATGTGCAGGGTACGTATATCGCTGAAGCCATCATCGAAAATGTAGCCTCTAGCCTCTCTTTGGAGGTTGATACAATAAGAAAGATTAATCTCCATACATATGAGAGCTTAGCTCTATTCTACAAGGATGGTGCTGGTGAACCACATGAGTATACTTTGTCTTCGATGTGGGATAAGGTTGGCGTATCTTCCAACTTTGAGGAGAGGGTTTCTGTTGTCAGAGAGTTCAACGAGTCTAACATGTGGAGAAAACGAGGGATATCTCGAGTACCCATTATTTATCAGGTTTCATTGTTTTCAACTCCAGGGAGAGTAAGTGTTTTGAGCGATGGCACGATTGTTGTTGAGGTTGGTGGAATCGAGCTAGGACAAGGGCTATGGACAAAGGTGAAGCAGATGACTAGTTATGCTCTTGGTGTGCTACAATGCGATGGAACAGAAGAACTCTTGGAGAAGATAAGAGTTGTACAATCAGATTCATTGAGCATGGTCCAAGGAAATTTCACAGGAGGTAGCACAACATCCGAGGGAAGCTGTGCAGCTGTTCGTCTCTGCTGTGAAACCTTAGTCAAAAGATTGAAACCTTTGATGGAGAGATCGGGTGGTCCAGTCACCTGGAAGAAGTTGATATCTCAGGTTTTCTTCCTTGATTTGCTGCTTATTGTTGGTGTCAAAAGATTGAGCTTCTTGTTTCTGATTCAAGATTCTTATGTCCAAATGCAGGCTTATGCTCAATCCGTGAACTTATCAGCTAGTGACTTGTATACTCCAAAAGACACTCCCATGCGGTACCTGAACTATGGTACTGCGGTCAGCGAGGCAAGCTCTTTTCCTTTTCTCAAAAATCTGAAATTTGAGTGGAGAAATGAAGTAACTTTGGTGTTTTCATGGTGTTAATAGGTTGAAGTAGACCTTGTGACGGGACAAACCACGGTTCTACAGACAGATATCTTATATGACTGTGGAAAAAGCCTCAATCCCGCTGTTGATTTAGGACAGGTAACACAAAATAAAGAGAGAGCACACAAAGCAAATGGATCTTTTTGTAATGTGTTTTGTGTGTTTATTCTTCAGATTGAAGGATCTTTTGTGCAAGGACTTGGGTTTTTCATGCTTGAAGAGTACATAACAGATCCAGAAGGACTCGTTGTGACAGACAGCACATGGACATACAAGATCCCGACCGTTGACACCATTCCTAGACAGTTCAACGTTGAAATACTAAACAGTGGATGTCATGAAAGACGTGTACTCTCTTCTAAAGGTCAGTCACTCGTTCCTACACAACATTTCAAAAACTTGTAATCAACATTTTTGATCATATTGTTTGTGTAAGTGCAGCCTCAGGAGAGCCTCCGTTGCTACTGGCAGCTTCGGTGCACTGCGCCACGAGACAGGCTGTTAAAGAAGCGCGCAAACAGCTACACATGTGGAAAGGTGAGGACGGTTCCTCTGATTCAACGTTTCAGTTGCCTGTTCCGGCTACAATGCCGGTTGTGAAGGAGCTATGCGGTCTAGATATCATTGAAAGCTACTTGAAGTGGAAATTACGCTCCAACTCATAATTATAAGTAACAACAATTTATGTATTTATAAAACAAAAAGAATTTCTCCTTTTTTGCTTTGTTTCCTTCTTTCAAAATACTCTGTTTCTGGTCTCAATCTGTTTGATGGTATGATTTACTTAGTCATTCAGGATTTTGTCGATTAATAAAGAAATCTGATTTTGAGAAAAAACAAAAATCAGCCGATTTCAGATGATTAAAAAAATAATCAATTTCTATAAATGATATAGTAATCATCCTTGATAAGAAATACAAAATTCTCTTCAGAAGTTGAATAAATTAAAAAAACAAACATAACAAAGGAAAATCTGAGCAAGAGACTTGGGTAAATGAGGACTGAACAAACTACTTGTGTAAACGAAGAGAACAAAACAACAAGAAGCTGCCCCAAAGCCCGAATCAAATACAAGAGGTCTAGGGACGCTACCTTCGATCCCAGCAAACATAATAGATTGACCATATCAATTGGTACTTACCACCGTTCATAGTTCCCTGCAAACTCGCCATTGTGGTGAGCTCTGCCATACCTTGGTGGTGCAGTTCCATCACTTTGATTCTGATGATGATGATGATGATGATGCTGATGATGATGATGCTGATGATGATGAGGAGGATAAGAAGGCTGCCACCTTGATGGTGAAGGATCCGAGTGATGCCTACTAGACTGAGATCCCGGGAAATGCCCACCAGAATTGAATTTTGGCGATCTATAGTTATGACCCATATGTGTAGAGTGTGACTTGTTATAACTCGATGGTGTAATGGGAGACTTTGGCCTTCTCATCTTTCCTCTTTGGAAAGATTCTTCTTCCGGTTCCTCTGTGATCCAACCGCCTCTGTGTTTTCGTTTCCTTGGTGAAGTCTGGGGCTGTTCTTCTTTATGTGTTTTCTTCTTCTTCTTCTTCGTCTTTCCATTGGATTCATGGGGAGTAGAATCGTGTTCCGAGTTCTCTTTATTTTTCTTGCGAGATTTATGTGATGGTGTAGATGTATCACGGTCCCTCTTAGAAACCTATATGAAGCAAAAGGGAACGTTGTGAGTCATAACATGAGAGAGAAAGGAAAGACGTGAAGAGCTCAAAGCTCCAAATGTAGAGAGAGATAGAGCCTACCTGGGAGGAATTGGGGCATTCACGAGCGAAATGTCCTGCTCCATTACATCTGTAGCACAAACTTTGTGACTCTCTGCCCTGTGAAGTGCTTATGCTCGACGAATTCGGGCATTCACGTGCGAAATGCCCTTCTTCCCCACACCTATAGCATTCACTGGCTTCCCTGTTGTTTTCTGGAAAGCTTAAGCTGGAAGAATCATTTTCGTTTCTTTCTTCGTAGTGTCTACCACATGCCTAGAGGGAAAATTATTTTAATTAGATAAGTTCTGCATCTTTATTTAAACTAGAATAAAAACAGATCAAATCTGTTTAGAGAGGCAAGCAAACTCAATCGACAGTGTGGATAATTCAAAATCAGAATCTCAATAACTTACCAGTCCAGTATGACCCAGTTGACCACATCTGTAGCAAGATACAGCCCATGACGGTGAATTACCAGGCTCGACACAGCATAGATGGCCAAAGCTTTTACAGACATAGCATTGTATATCCTAGTCAAAGTAAATACAACAACATAGCATTAACATTTGATCTACATTATAATCCAACTATAGTAAAGCAATCAGAAACTCAAGAAAGGTGAAAGCAGCTGTGGGTAGAAGATATATCCTCAGGTTAAAAATGATAAATCCAAACATGGTCATGATCAGTTCATTTTAGTGAGACTTCGTTTTAATTGAAATTTTTAACAACAATAAGAAGATAACAGAAGGTATAAGAAAGAAATCATCAGCAAAGTTACCTTCAAATCTTCCTGAGAGTACTCATACTTGCACAAAATCATGTCATGACCAAAGTCTCCACATCTTAAACATACAACTCCTTTAGACCCGTTTTTGTACTTATCGGGACAATCTTTAGCTCGATGTCCACCTTTTTTGCATATATAACAATCATGTCCCTGTCAAAATAACGAAAATTTTACTCAGCAACCATATGCAACAAAAAAAAAAAAAGACTAGTCCTAAAACTTCCATGGTCTACCTTTGAACAATGCTTTGCACCATGTTCCAAACTCCCACATATAAAGCAAGGCTTTCTACGCTTGGTAGGAGTTGGACAATTGAAACTTGTATGACCTTGCTCTCCACAACTATAACAACTCACCCAACCAGCATCAGGAGGGTCAAAGTATCTTGCTCCACGCTGATAACAACAACAAGACCCCAACAAAGGTCATCATCACAGACAAGTTACACGATTTCGAGATAAAAAGCAACGATTCAACCAACTCACAAGAAGCTTTTTCAGAACCAAATTGCTAGATGTTTCTTCAGTTTTCGGTTCATCAGATCTCTCAACCTCATCATCCTCTCCTTCACCTTTTACTACCTCCTCCACCACTTTCTCTTCATCTTGGTCTCTCCAAACAATAGGCTGTTACATTTTAGACAAAAATCGACAAGCATTAAACACAAGCTTCAAACTTTCCCATTGCAAATCAAAGACTACTGATTCTCAAATCTATAAAGCAATTAAGACGACAATAATTGAAACTGTAATGCGAAGATATAGAAGAAAATCGTTCATACTTACAAATTCATGGGCAGCTTCAAGCTTATTTCTCTTCATCTTCTTATTACTCTCAGATTTATTAACTTTAGACTTTCCTCCATTAACCATCACAGTATTTACTACACCAGAATCAGAGAGATCAGAATCAAGCTTGTTTCCAACATCACGCCGCGATAATGCTTTCTCTAATATCTTCAAGCTAAGATCTTCATTAGCTTCATCATCATCTTCATCTTCACCATCGACAACTTTAATGGCTACTGGATCTTCTCTGTCCTCGTCTTCTCCGTCATCAAAAACAAATTTTTCATCTCTATTATGCCTCGGCATGATTAAGAGTTCAAAACCCAAAATCTAATTTTTGAAACCTAGAATTCGTATGTATTGCGAGGCTTAAGCGGCAAAGGTTTGGAATGATTTGGTTCAGAAAAGTTCGAATTTTTTTCTTTGTTTTGTGTTAACTGGGTTTTTGGGATACGGCGGAGGAAGAACAAAGATTAGGGTAGGGTTTGTTTTTTTAAAACAATGGTTTTACGATTTTACCCCTGAGACAAGTTCTAAAAAGGAAACAGTTTTTTTTTTTTTCATAACTGGAGTTTTATTAATCAAACCAAACATATTACAGCGCTGGATACACCGGAAACAGAGCTCGAGACTTTAACGGGAAACATAGCCCAAATTTTTAGAGGGAAACAAAACCGGAAAGATATAATCTTCCGGAGCCAAATGACCAAAAGAGGAAAAAAAAACTTTAAAAGACATGGAGATGACTAACAAGTAATAAGTAAAGACTCCAAAACAATTCACTACTAAAAACTCTTCACCACAAGCATTCACCAAGCATTTTCATAGAACATATCGGCACCGAAGAAAGGTTACAAACATGAGCTTCAAAGAAAACCGAATCATTAGAATGCCTTCAAAAGAGAAAGCCCGAGAAAGGGACTAAACTGAGCTCACACAACCACAACCTCAGCAGAAACGAATACGAATAATCAAGTAGAGTAGAGCATAGAACCAAACCAATACTACCTTCCAACCACCAGAGAAGACGAGAAAGCGAAAGAACAAGGAGAAACCTTGACATCCGAAGGGGAAAACACCAAAGAGGACCCTCATTTCTTACACGCGGACATTCGTAGACCCAGCCAAAGCCATCTACAACCTAAGAACTGGTTACGCCACACAAGAGAAGGAATAGAGACCGAACCCGCCGCATCATCTTGTACCCAAACCTGAAGCCTAAACAAAAACACAAATATGAGCTAGTAGATGCCTATGAAGAAAGCTACCATCCGAATGAAGAACCCACAAATCAAAACCTTCACCAACTCACAACACCAATCACCAGATCTGAAGTAACAGAGAGGCGGAACTAGGTGTCAAGAAAGCCAACCCAAGACTTAAAACTAAGGCTTCAATCCACAACCACTCCCAAAAAGCCGTAACACAAACCAGTAAACAACACAATAATTCCTTAACCAAGATCTCAATCCCAAGCTAAAAACATAATTAAAGTGCCTACAACGATGAAAATAAAATCTAAAGTGGCGACACAAGGACAAAACCTCTAATCCGGCAACCTTCCAAGGTGAGATATGCCTTCTAAGATGAGATATGCCTTCCAAGATGAGAGCTGCAAGAAATAACAAAGGGGTTCAGCACCGCCGACTTCACTCCACATCGACGTCATCATCTTCACCCCAAATTGAATCAGTTCTGTTACTTCCAAAGCAAAGGCTCATCAACCACCAAAGATTTCAACAAAACAGGAACAATAAAACTATAAGGAGGATCAACACTCGTGCTAGCTAGCCATAGACCATCAATCCCCAGCCAAAAAACCAACGAAAAGCCGGATCTAACATCAGAGTAAAGCTGGCCGAAACCGCCAAAGAGACTGCAGTGAAATCACCAAACACAGAGCCAGACATCGTCGCATAGAAAGCCGACGCATGCTGGAGCCAAAAGCCGGATATCGTCGCATAAAAAGCCGACGCATGCCGGAGCCAAAGCCGGCCAAACGGTGCTAAGGAGCCACCGATGCCGGAAATAGGTTGACCATCGTGACTAAGGAAGCCAACGATGTCAGATAGGAGCCGGCTGATGCCACTGACGAAGCTAACCACCGCCGGAAGAGAGTAGATCATCGGGAAAGCTTTCCCTCTCTGAAAGGTCGAGAGAGAAGAGAGAGAAATTTTTTTCGTTTTATAGTGTGTATAAAAAGAAAATAGTTATATCACTACAAAAAAATGCAACGGTTTACAATATAATTAATATTTTTTAAATATATAATAAAATCCATAAACCATGTAATATAAATAATAAAAATTAAATAAATGTTTTGTCTAAATTTTGTTTAGGATTTCATATTTTTATTTTCTTAATAGACATGTTTATATAGTGGAAGCCCCTTGGTCCATTGGTTGACTAAGAGTTAATTAATGCTTCTACATCAAGAGGTTTGGGGTTCGAGTCCCAGATATTGCGATTTATTAATAAATTTGCAGATTAAAGGAGGCAAATGTGCAGGAGATCTCCAGCGAAATACAATTATAGCCGTTCGCCAAGATTCTACGCAGAGAGAGAAGTGTCATCAGGTCGTGGATCATTGAATGTGTCCGTCAAGAGCATGGAGAAGGAAGTGTCGTCTGTCGTGGACAGGGCCGGCCCATGGCTAAAGCCCAACAAGCCAATGCTTTAGGCAGCAAACTTTATATACATTTTTAGGGGCATCAGTATTGAAAGTGCTCAGTAGTGTAGTTGTTAAGCAACTTTTCCTCAGTCTCTCCAACCAAGGTTCGAGTCTTATCACTTTTTTTCTTTCCAAAAACGAATATTTTCTTACTTTTTATTTTTATTTTAAATCTATTCGATTATTTGAATTTTCTAACTTCAGTTTCTTTTTATATTATTATATTAGATTGATTAACATTAAATTATTCACTAAACAATTTAATTTGTATTTAAAACCTATTTTGCTAAGTCTTTTTTTTTGGGAGACTCACAAAAATGCCCCTTTTTCATTACCCCTTTTTAAAAATGCCCCCTTTGGCTGTCCATTTTTAAAAATACCCCTTTTTATGTACAAAATGACTAAATTATCCTTCTTTTAATAAAATATATCACAAATATATAAGGAAATATAACAAAATTAGGTCCACAAAATATAACATATTTTTTGGCGGAAAAATTGATCCCGCAATTTTTCCCGCCAAAACACTTGTAAAAACTTGTAAAATCTTTAAAATACCTTGTAAAATTTTCCCGTAAAATTTTTTCCCGCCAAAATTTTTTTTTGCGGGAAAAGTGATTCCGCAATTTTTTTGGCGTTAAATTTTCCCGGCAAAAATTTACAAGGTATTTTAAAGGTTTTTTACAGGGTATTTATAAGGTTTTACAATGTATTTTAAAAGGTTTTACAACGTATTTATAAGGTATTTATAAGATTTTACAAGCTATTTTATAAGGTTTTACAAGTTATAAGGTTTTACAAGTTTTTTATAAGGTTTTACAAGGTACTTATAAGGTTTTACAAGGTACTTATAAGGTTTTATAAGGTATTTATAACTTGTAAAACCTTTTAAAATACATTGTAAAACCTTACAAAAACACTTGTAAATACTCTGTAAAACCTTTAAAATACCTTGTAAATTTTTCCCGCCAAAAAAATTGCGGAATCACTTTTCCCGCAAAAAAAATTTTTTGGCGGGAAAAATTTTTACGGGAAAATTTTACAAGGTATTTTAAAGGTTTTTACAAGTGTTTTGGCGGGAAAATTGCGGGATCACTTTTCCCGCCAAAAAATATTTTGTATTTTGTGGACCTAATTTTGTTTCAAATAAGGGTAAAATGGTCATTAAAAATTAAAAGAGGGCAAACTTAAAAATGGACTCTCAAAGGGGGCATTTTTGAAAAGGGGTATTGAAAAAGGGGCATTTTTAACAATTTCTCTTTTTTTTTGTCTTTTTTATTTACTAAACAACTATATTAGATTGATTAACATTACATTATTTTATTTTTTAACTTTTATTTTTGTTTTAAAACAATGATGCTTCTGTCTTTTCTGTTTTTGGTTTTAACAATTTTTCTTTTTTGAACTCATGTTAACATTAAGTTTTAAAGAATTATGTTGTTTTGTTATGCGGAAAAAAAAAATTTGAAGCAACAACTTTTTGGTTTGCTTTAGGCATCAAATAACTTTGGGCCGGCACTGGTCGTGGATGTAATAAGGGTCGGAAGGAATTGTCCGTTGTAGAATCGTCTATGTAACAGTTCTCATAATTTGCAATAAATAATAAATCTAGACGTAAAAAAAAAAGACATGTTTATATAATTTTAATGTATGATATTACATTTATAAGGTTTTATATTATAAACATTTAAATATGTTAGGTGCACGCAAAATCTACCAAAAACAAAAAACAAAAAATCAAAGATAGAGGAATCAAGGTTTGCTCATTGTAAAATCAGGTTTGCATCCAAAATAAGATTGTATCCACAAGTATCTATGCCATATGGTTCTTTTGGAAGAGATAGAGAGTGACACAGATAGAGTGACATAGCTTTAGATGTGCAAACTATTTCAATAAAACCCAAATTCATTTATCAAAATCTTCACAAATATTTGATTTCAAACCAAATTACACAGCAATCTTCAACAAGACCAGAATTAGATATTTTGCGTTGAAGGTGATTTAACTATAAATATATTTGTAACGCGTCACCCATGTATATACATGTATACACACATGTTACCAATTATTTTTTGGTTCAGACAAGGATGTATGACCGGAGGATGATTAAGGCTGGTCTTGTTCGTCAATGTATATCTCATCCTTACATTGCTTCAACAATACATGAGACAGGCTAATCCTCAAACCGTCTAAACCAGTCAACGATCGTCCTGGAAAGAACTCGAGTTTCGCTAAGAGGAATGGTCTTTAGCGCCTGAGCCACAGCGTCTGCTGGCGTGTACACGGACCCAATTTGCCACTTTGGGTCCTGGAGACACATTATCAAGTTCAATTAACAGGATGCAGAAATGACAGAGCAAAGTTGTTAACTGCAGAACTACTAGCTCTAGTGTTGCTTGGTTAATTACCTGTATGCAAGGTGTGAGATGGTTTCCGTTCAGCCGAACCTTTTCAAGTGTACCACCAATAGATTCTATCCGAGGCCTAAGGGTTTCTTCAAGCAAATCAGTCTCGTCGATTGCATCGGAGTTGAATTGTACCTGAGACAAATGTTGCAGCAGACAAAGATCAAATATGAGTATTGCTGGTTCCAATCAGGCAGAGACTGTTCACTTCTATGCTTCTTATATCAACCAATATGGATTAGTAAAGAGTGAACAAACGGTCTCTATGTCCAAGAAATCATCTCAGAAATGTATAACCATACATATCTTGTCAGAAACAGTCTAATAATCTCTACTCAAGATTAATGCGGATAGATATGACAGTTTGCTTAGCAGTTGGTTCACTCTTTGAACCGTCAAGCTCATATAAATGCAAATGAACTTGTGTGTGCATTACCAGTAAAGTGTGTGGAACGCTGTAGGAGCACTTGAAGCAATTGCGATTCTCAAGTGGTGACGGTCTGAATTCCGACACTCCTTGTCCTACCTGCATAGAACAACGAAACAAAGAATGAGAAGTTCAATTGTTTTTAAGGCTTGGCCAATTACAAGGGAACTACAAAAGCTCAATCTTCGATACGAAGTCAAGAAGTCCCTTACTGAAGAAATACCTCACCAAACACTGAGGGCAATTGATCCACCAATTTAGTAAATGACTTAAGAGCTTCTTGATCATTATTTAGAATCGTTGTCCCAGCTGTGTCAAGTAAGAGTTTCAAAACATCACCTGTAAGTGAGCACAAGTGCAAAGATATTAGCTTCTTTTGATTCTCAATAATCATAAAAGTCTCTTTGGTGCATAGGAATAGTCCTCGAGATCATTGTTTCTACTTGCACGCACTAATAAATAGATTAAGTAAGAGAATATCTGCGTAAGAATTTGTTGCTTAAGTAGTATCACCTGAAGCATTTCGAGCCATTTCATATACTGGAGAAGCTTCCACGATTGGCAGCATCTGCTGGATGAGAGGACCAAGCTGCAGAGGAATATAGACAATCTTAGATACAAAAATCACAGTCTCATTTGTTCGGTTCATCCATTTGAAAACTACAGGATCAGATTGGCTTTCATATAATTGAAAAATCAATTCAATTCAAGAAGCATTAGATAGCAACAAAAGTCCGAACATCAATCAATCTTGTGAAGATAATAGTACCAGCCCCAAGATCGCAAAAAAGAACGTTGAGCTACCTTTTTGTAGCCTAGATTCTGATATATAAGGTGGATAAGCTATAGGTTGCTAACATCAAGTATACCCTGTGATCTCTATTAGAGTCATATAATGAAGGTTTTAAATAGGACAACATAAGAGAACAATGACAAGAGAATATCAATAATACATTCTAAACCAAGCAAAGCTTAAGAGAATATTTACCTGCTCAAAATATGGAACTGCCTCTGTCGCTGATTTGTTGTTGAATGAAATGATGGCATTAACCTTTCACAAGAGAGATTATATTTTTGTCACACTTGCTTAAGATTAAGACAAAGAAAAGTTTATGTAAAAAACTCATCTTGGTGATCTAATCTGGCTGATGTTACATATTAGCTCACGAGAATCCTAACCTTTGGTATCTTCTCAGCAAAATAACTTCCGGTCAAAACTTGCAGCAGCGCACCATTACTGTATAAAAGTTAAAAACTTGACAGTAGTCAGAATTCAGGACATAGAGAATTCATAAGGTTGAGGGGAGAAGTGAAAAGTTTCCAAACCTGTGACCAACTGAGAAAAGAGGAAGGTCAGCTAGATCTTCAGGCTTCAAATTTGCATTTGGAATTCCAGAAGAGACAATCGTGTCCAAGCAGGAATTAAACCTCTCATAAACCTGCTTAGCAGCTTGTTCATGATCAAATGTAACATTGTACGGCACTGATACTATCAAATACCCTTCCTTTGCCAGTAGCTCCTTGAGGTAACTTACAAATCACATAGACACAAAGGAACAACAAACCAAATTACTTAAGGCATGCAATTTTCCAATTACTTAACAGATAAAACAACCCAGAATCATCATCAAGGCTATGTGAAATTTGATGTACTCGAAGAATCAAAGTACCTGTAAGTGAGTTCAGGAACTGCTCCGACGAAGGCACCTCCCAAGAACTTAACAATAGCACGCGGTTTCTTGAATCTAGGAGGAGGAGGAATCACTAGACAAGAATCAAGCCTCGTGTAAACCTTATCGTTTCTACTGCGATTGTAACTTCCACTCGCAGTCACGGTGAGAGAGACAGCTCGAGCTCGTCTGCAAAACAGAGTCGCCGGAATCACTTGAGTACCCAGAAAACTCGAAGTGGCTAATCCAAACTCCATTATTCTTTTTCTTCCGTACAGTTTTGTGTGAAGAAGAAGAAGCAAACGTTACGTCAGAAAATTGCATTAAATCAGAAAATTATATGTTTTTTTTTTTGCAGTTTGGTTCCACGATTTTGAAGATTTTCGGGAATAATTTGAGTTTTTAGATTCTGACCACAGAGCTAAATCCATAAGATATTTCAAAAGTACTTCTCTGGAACGTTTTAGTAGTTCTCTTATGGTTCATACAAAACACAAAGTAGCGAAGCTGCTTTACACCGTGAAACACACAAAGAAAGAAAAAGGTCAGAGACAGACACTTTTGTAACAGACACGAGAGTGTTTGCTGCTTAGTGAAGACTACGCATGATACCGTGTATGTATCCTCCGGTCATAATGAAAGACATGATCGACACGACTCCAGCCGGGAATATCTTCTTCGATCCCATGTATCTGGTTCCCATCACGTACGTTAATGCACCCGCCATCACTTTTTTAACATACACAAACAATGCAGGTGTTAAGTTAAGGCAGCTATATCATCAGGCATTAAAAAAATCAAGTATCGTCACCGTTCAAGGGTCCAACTTTTGAATCTTTTTCAAACTACTCTGCTATTGACAATCTCTTTTCCTTACCTACGCCAACGGTTGATGCAAGAACAGGTTTTGTTGGGAGCTGGCTGAAGACATACAGCAGAACAGCAGCTGATAGTCCACCTGCAAGCAACGATTTCTGGCTACCGCTCTTCAGATAACCCATCAGCCCACCAACTGCATCAAAACCATATAACAGTTCATGAGAGTTTGTTCACAAGACTATTGACAAAAAAACAGAGCATCATTTCTAGGCAAACATAACATATTTGTATTAAATATGTTTCAAGTATATTTGTAAATCCATAAGAAAATGGCAACTCCACTTCACATTTTTTATTCATCTGATAAGCATACACAGATACAGAGAACACTAATCTGGATTAGGACCATCTGAGTTACGTTAGTTAGTTACATCATCTCAATAAAGAACCAATAAAGCATCAATAAGGACAAGGAACCATTCAATTTCAAACCTAAAGCTATGCCAGTTAGATCCAGAAACCTTTCTTATGCCATTAGCTTTTGCTGAATTCAAGTTCAAGTCACATCAAAATCCATCTCTAGCAAATATGCAATAGCAATTAATCCTCAAAACATGTGGTGCGGTTCTATGAACCTTTTTCTTCTCCCATTTTCTAATGAGTGTGAATCTATTTCTAAGTATCTACAAATCCGCAAGATAAAATCAATTTCTTAAAAAATTGGATTCTCCTAAAACACTAGAGTTCAAGAAATAATCACTGATCAGATTCTTATCTTCAAGATAATGAACTGCGATGTTTTTGCAATCCCTAACGCATCACGGTGGATCTACAAATCCCAATTTGAAAATCAAGTCTATATGGAGAAGCAGGTAAACCCCTAAACCCTAAAAGTTCATCAAATTGACAAAATTGAATCTCACCTACCACAAGAAAATGGATAGTCTTAGCTTCATATCTAAGTTCTAAAGCCTCATACAAAAAGGAATTCCACGATGAAGAATCAAGTATAAACCCTAGAGTTCAATAAATGGTAAAATTGAATCTCACCTCCAACGAGAAAAGCGTAACCAAGAGTCAATTTCTGCGACATAGACAGAGGCGTGCCTTTTTTCCCGTCACTCTCTTCCTTATCACCATCTTCTCCGTCGTCATTTCCATCGCCGCCTCCACCACCGCCGCCAAATTTATCACCTCCAATTCCACCACCACCACCACCTCCGTAATCGATCGTAGGCTCGACTTCAACAGCTTTGACACCCGAATCAACGCAGTTAGCAGTAATAGTACTGGTGATCGTCTTAGTCGAATCAGAGGGAACTACTTCACCGAGAGGAAGTCGTCGGTGACCAGATGCGAACGCCAGAGGATGAAAACCGTTGGAATTTTGGAATCTGACACTTCGGATCGGTGAAGCAGTGGAGTTATTGAGTAGGAAGAGATTGGGTCTGACGTGAAGGAGAGAGGATTGAGCAGAGGAACTCAAAAGCAAATCCGCCATTTTCTTCTTCTTCGCAAGCTTTTTGTTTAACGACTAATTTTAGTGATTGATTGATTTTCTCTAAAATCAATGAACAACGTTAATCAAATAATGAACCTTAACCGGCTAATTGGTCATATCTGCAAACCGGTTTTCATTAGGCATGCAATCGGTAACATCGGTCCGGGTCAGTTCGGAAATTCGGTTTTAATTCTGTTTGTTCAATTAAAGAAAATTGTAACCAAAATTTCCTGAATTTGAACTTCGGTTTTGTTCAGTTCGGAAATGATAAATTTCTGTTCGGATCATGTAAAAATTATGGGTTCTGAATTGAAACCAAAACAATATTTAATTCGGTTTGTTCAGTTTAATTTCCGATTTTTCGACATTTTCATTATATTTTTCAACAATTCGGTATATTTTAAACAATTTCGCTATCGGTTTATGGCAAAAGTTGGGTAATGTCAAGAATATTTTGGTAACCGATTGGTTTACCTCATCTCACCGAACCGGTTACTGAGTTCAACTACAAATTTCTGATCGGTTTGAAGAATACCCGAATTACCAAAATTCCGGTTCAATCCGATTGGGTCCGGTACATCTCTGCCCAGGTCTTACATTTGGGCCCATAGTTTATACGGGCCTAACTAGTGCAACGACGTCGTTTCTGGTCTTCCATCCCAATATCTATGTAGTTTCCCAATAAATAAACGCAGAAAACCAAAACCCTTGCCGGAGAACCACCGTCGAAATCCTTGCTTTAAATGGAGAATTCGTTGCTTGATTCTGGTGAAACAATGGAGATGATTACCACAGAGAAAATCGAGGAACCAGTGAAGGACACTCTCAGAGAAGTTATATCTCAGGAGATTGCTCATAAGGAAGCACCCGTACCAGAGACAGTAGCTCCGGTGTATAAAAGAAAAGTTTATGTTGTTGAAGAAGAACGCTTTCTTTATAAGGTTGCCACTTTTGCTTACTCTACTGTCTATTATTCTAGAGAATGATTTTGATTTTTCGATTTGTTGTTTTTATGTTTAATAGTTTTCGGAGACGAAAGATGTGATGGTTAATAAATACCAAGGCAAAGCTTTTCTATTGATTGGGAAGAAGCATTTTCATAAGGAAAATGCAAAGTTTAGAGGTACAAGTTTTGAACACACTTTGTTGTCTTCTCTGTCTTTATTCTCAAGGCTGAAAAAGCATTCATGTTTTGTTCTCTGTTAGGAATAAATTTCCCAACCCACCAATGGTCTGTGCTCAAGAACAATTTCTCAGCGATAGAGGAAGCTATTAAGCACTTCCAGTTAAAAAATGCGTAAGAGTGTTACCGTATTTATCATGTTCTCCCTAGCAATCCTTTTGGTGTTGTGGACCGCTTATCTTGTTATACAACGTTATGCAGAACACCAAATGGAAATACTTGTGAGGCTTTGGATAAGAGCAGTCAAGGTTTTTCTCTTATCGAGACTTCGCGATTTGATGGGAGGAGTTATCTTTCATGGGCATCACAGATGGAACTTTTTTTGAAGCAAATGAAGCTGGTTTATGTACTCTCTGAACCTTATCCTGGTACTGGTAGTGGTAGCTCTCAAGATTGGTTGAGAGATGATTATCTTTGCCACAATCACTTGATGAAATCCTTGTCTGATGATCTATACCGTCAATACTTGAAGAAATTCAAGCATGCTAAGGAACTATGGGACGAGTTAAAATGGGTTTACCACCGTGAGGAATACAGTTCTAAGAGGACACTAGTCAGAAAGTACATTGAATTCAAAATGGTTGAAGAGAGACCTGTTCTCGAGCAAGTTCAAGACTTTATCAAGATTGCAGATTCCATAGTGGGTGCTGGTATGCTTCTTGATGAGACGTTTCATGTGAGTACCATCATTTCCAAGTTTCCTTCGTCCTGGAGAGGCTTCGTCACTAGATTGATGGAAGAGGAGTTTCTACCAGTCTCGATGTTGATAGAACGAGTAAAAGCTGAGGAAGAGTTTCTCAGAAGTGGAAAAAAAAGGGTTACAGTTAGTCCAGCCACAGGGTCCTCTCAGATGGAAATGAGACCGAGTCTAGGAACAACGCTTACAGGATCTCAGAGTATAGGTGTGAAGAGGAAAGAACCCGAGAGAGTCATCATATCTGATGAGAAAGCTCCCAAGAAACCAAATCAGATGACTTCTTCAGTCACCGCATTTGTGGATTCAGAGACTCAAGCAAGAACCAACAATGAGGAGTAGTAGCTGATAATTTGCTTAAACGAAGAGTATAAAGAACTGTTCAAAATCTGTTTTTCGTTTCAAATGCAGCTCTTGATTACTCAATAAACAGACATCAATTAAGATCACATGCTTTAACAAATCTCTTACAACACAACCAAAAACTTTTGGTCATCAACTGAACTTATAAAAATCATTGATACACATTTTGAAATAAACTTAAAAGTATATTTTGATGTTTGGGCGGATATCTGAAGTCCGGAGAGTTGAAAGTCGGATTCGAATATCCTGAAAAACTCTAGCTATCCGACCGTTACACCCCTTACCTCATGCATAAGTGTTTTATGTTTCTTGTGTTCTTTCTTTGAATGCAACGGTAGCACAAAACCGCAGTTTAATTACTAAGGTAGAATCTGCAGAGGGTGTAGTAGAACTCCAATGAGGAGTTATTATTTAAAGACTGTTAACAAGCATGAGACATCAAAATATACATTAACTGAACTATTAATGTGTTGAACTCCAATGTATTCATAGATACATCATTGTCTTTCTGTAATGAACTAACTCGATTTACACCCACGGTACACCGCGGGGCTATAAGTGATTTTAAAAATCAGCATTTAAATGGTTAGGTAGATTATCTAAAGATATAACCTACTGTTTTGTATTTGTAAAATAAAATATATATATAAGCATATATTAATTCGTGGCAATTATAGATGCGGTATATCGCGGGTCAATTTTTTATAACTTAAAATTTTTAAATTTTAAGCGATATATGCTTTGTTAAGATTGTTTATTTTGTTCAGTGTTTAAGATTGTATAATTGTATTTTAGTTATTAATTCTAGGATTTCACCCGTGTGGTATACCGTCCCGTTTTAATATCGACCCAAACCCGTCTCACCATATAACCCCGTCCCGTGAAATTAAACATTATTTTGTTATTTTCTTTTTAATAATAATTTTATTTAAAAACATATAATTCGAGTTAATTTAAAAGTTTGTTTTAAATGATTCACATAATATATATTTAAAGTTATTATGAGTTAAAAAAAAAGACCACTTAGATTACAGTGTTCTGATTCACTTATAAAACTTTTTTTTTTTTTTAATTTTGTTAGAGTCCTAAAAGACATTTGTCAAAAGAAAATAAGAAGAAAAAAAAACTGATTTATGTTGCATCATTCCAAATTTATCGAATGCATTTTAAGGACGTGTCTTTATGTATTGGACCTTAGTAGACATTTTTTTTTTTTTTTTTTCCGATAAAAGAAAGCTTAGTAGACATTTTTCTGTACTTTACCCTTTAGGTTTTTTTTTTAATGTTTGACGAAGTAAACAGAAAATATTGCATCAAAACAAAAACAATCGTCTTTGAAATCTGAAAAAGAAAAAAAATTCCCTTTTTGAAAATCTTCTCCCCTTCTTCAACCTCTCTTATACGTTTCCGATTTTGGAGTTTTTCAAGCTATTTGCATGTGGATGAATCGATTGATTAAAGTTGATCAATGTATCTAATTTGCATTGAATCGAAGGAGAGACGACACAAAACCATCAATTGAAATCTACTCAATTCTTGACAATCTTCTTCGTCGTGGCCAAGAGATAGAGTTCATATCTTCCTTAGGTTCTTCCAATATCCATATTCCCCCATTTTCTGTAAGTTGATTCAATTTCACAGCCAATTAATGTAAGCTCAAGATGATTAATATTAGTTCTCAATAAATCACTTTAAGAATCCAAAAATAAATTTTGTCAAATCTAAGACATATATGAAAACAGTCGGTATTGAATCAAACACAAAGATATAAGAACAAGATTATGTAACCTAAAGAACACCTTTTCTTTATTGCTCAAGGAAAACTAACTCAAAAACCCTAAGCATACACAATCTCAAACTCTCTAAAAACTCATAGGGTTACCACACCTTGGTACCTCTATATATAAAGACTATTAAACCGACTTTGAACATATTAGGATTAGGTCTAGACTACTCTCTAGAATCTTCTTATGAAACCGACTTGTTTCATAATAACTTGGGCCTCAAGCCTTTAATCTTTTAAGTCTTCTTTCAAACTTACACCAACATTCACTCCCTTAAGTTTGAAATCACCTTTTGTCACATCTTGAATCCCTACAAGCTCTCTCATCTCCTTGTATTTGATTCGACCAAGAGCCTTGGTTAAGATATCAGCCTTTTGTTCTTCTCCCGGCACATGTTCTACATCAACTAACTCATTTTCTACACATTCACGTATAAAATGATACCTCTTGTGTATGTGCTTACTTCTTCCGTGGAAAACCGGGTTCTTGGCCAGAGCAATTGCGGACTTATTATCAATTTTGAGTATTACTTTCTCACTCCTTTCTCCGGTTACTTCTTCCAAGAGATCTTGAAGCCAAATGGCTTGTTTGGCAGCCTCAGTAGCGGCCATAAACTCGGCCTCACAAGAAGATAACGCCACTGTGTCTTGTTTCTTAGTACACCAAGTAATTGGGCAATCTCCAAGGTAAAATATGTGTCCTGTCGTGCTCTTACCATCATCCTCATCGACATTATGACTGCTGTCACTATACCCTACCAGGCCTTGTTGAGTTCCCCGAGTAAATGAGAGACCATAGTTCAGAGTGCCCTTTAAGTACCTAAGTACTTGTTTCAAGGCAACTCTATGGGATTCTTTGGGATCTTGTAGATATCTGCTTAATACACCAACACTGAAGGAAAGGTCAGGTCGTGTATGAAGTAAATATCTGAGACATCCAATGATTCTTCTAAATTCTTTCTCATCCACACTCTTCTCTTCCTCTGCTTTTGACAACTTCAAGCCAGCGTTCATTGGTATGTGAACTGCATTACATTCACTCATTTTTACTTCTTCTAGTATTTTCTCTGCATACCTTCCTTGTTTCATGGTGATGCCCCTTTCATGCTGAAATACTTCTATACCAAGGTAATAGGTTAACAGGCCTAAATCACTCATCTCAAACGTTGCAGACATTCCTTTCTTGAATTCATGAATTTGTTCAGAGTTAGAGCCTGTAACTAGTAAGTCATCAACATATACTGCCACAACTAGAAGACATTCATCTTTCTTCTTTCGGTATAAGGAGGGTTCTTTAGAGCATTTTATGAAGCCTAATCCTTGAAGGATCTGGTTTAGTTTATTATTCCACGCTCTTGGTGCTTGTCTAAGCCCATAGAGTGCTTTGTTAAGTTTATACACCTTATCCTTCTTTTCTTCTTCTATAAACCCTTCAGGTTGTGAGACAAACACAGTCTCTTTTAGCTCTCCATGCAAGAATGCTGTTTTTACGTCTAGATGATGCACTTCCCAGCCGTTTGATGCTGCTAAAGCAATTATGAACCTAATGGTCTCAATCCTTGCTACTGGAGCAAACACTTCATCAAAGTCAATCCCATGTTTCTGAACATATCCTTTAGCAACTAATCTTGCTTTATATTTGTTTATAGAACCATCTGAATTTTTCTTGATTTTAAACACCCACTTCAGTCCTATAGGTTTAGCTCCACTGGGAAGATCAACTAAGTTCCATGTGTTATTTTTAGTAATTGATGAGATTTCATCCTTACAGGCTTCTCTCCATTCTACCATTTCCTTTGCTTCCTCATAATCCCATGGCTCTTCGTCCAAAGCCAATAAGAGGCGTTCACTTTCAAACTCAGCCAATAGTACATAATCGTTTAGGTACTTTGGTCTTGTAACTTGTCTTTGTGAAGCTCTTCTGGCAAGTGGTTGTATTTGCCCATCCGGATTCTGTTCATGGATCTCAGTGTCCTCTGTTTCTTCTTCACCAGACTCATCTCTTTCCCCTGTTTCCTCTGTTTCACTGTCCTCTTTATCACCAGTTTCAACTTCATTAGTTTCATTTATGGTTTGGTTTTGAATATTTTGAGCTTCTCTAAGACCATTATTTCCAAAAGCTCCAACATTCACACTCAGTTTAAATGTTCCAATTTCCTTTCCTGTATCTTTTCCCAGATGGCTCCATTTCCAACCTTTTGTTTCGTCAAAAATGACATCCCTACTTACTGTTATTCTTCGAGTAGTTGGATCCAGCATCCTATAAGCTTTTGTGCCTGGTTCCGTACCCAAGTGCACTAATGGTTTTGAACGATCATCGAGTTTTCTTAGGTGTTGAGCTTCTGTTTTTGCATATCCTGTGCAGCCAAATACATGTAGGTGTTCTACATTAGGTTTTCTTCCCTTGAAAGCTTCATATGGTGTCTTTGCAATCAATGTTCTGGTTCCAACCCGATTTATCAAGTATGTGGCGTGTCTCACTGCCTCTCCCCATAAGTAGTTTGGCATATTCATGTGCTTAAGGATACTTCTTGTCATTTCTAAGAGAGTTCGATTACGTCTCTCTACCACTCCATTCTGCTGTGGGGTGTATGGTGCAGTAAGATGTCTCTGTATCCCAGCATTCTCGCAGTAAGTCTGAAATTCTTGAGATGTAAATTCACCACCCCTATCTGTTCTGAATGTTTTGATAGTAGTACCAGTTTCTTGCTCAACTAATCTTCTGAACTTTTTAAACTTCTCAAATGCTTCACTTTTCTCTTTTAAGAGTATAGACCACATATATCTTGAATGATCATCAATCAAAACGAAAACATATCTATTCCGGGCCAATGTTGATGGTGTGATGGGTCCACAAAGATCTCCATGCACAAGTTCTAACTTTGTTCCTGCTCTGTATGAAGTTGCCTGGGGAAATGCTTTCCTTGATTGTTTCCCAAGTAGACATGAGACACAGGTCTCCTTTTCTGTTTGAATGATTGGCAAGCCTGTAACCAGTTCTTTCTTTATCATTGTTTTCATTGTTTCTAATCCGATATGTCCTAATCTTGCATGCCACTTAGCTGACTCACTCAGTTCTTTTATTTGCAGGCATCTTTCAGACTCAGATTCCATGAAGACTTTGTAGAGTCTGTTCTTTGATCTTTTAGCTTTTACCAGAAGCTTTCCTTCTTTGTCATGAACAGTAAGAAAATCTTCTTTCATCCTAACATCACATCCTGATTCAGTTGCTTGACCCAAACTGATGATATTACTTTTTAAATCTGGTATAAAGTATACATCTGCAAGTATTTTCTTG